ATCTAGCTCTAGAAGCTATTCCGAGATTGCAGTAGCATGAACAACTATGCTAAGCTGCGCAGTCTTCGTAATCATGCTGCATCTGCGCTGCGCTAGCGCTGGGGCAACCTTCACGACATTACATGACTTATCAGCGGAGGGAAACTTGGCTCTCTAGAGCGGGGCATCTCGATAACAAGAACTAACTGATGAGAGGACTATTAACAAGTATGAAGGGATCTGTGGGTCTGTATGAGAGCAGCTCGGGCGCGTAGTTCCTGGGGATAGGAACCTGGAAGAGGGAGGATTCTGTTAGGGCTTGTATGCGCACAAAGGAAATAGGTAGCTCTTGCAACCCCTGGTGGCGGTCCAGGGCTGCTGCGAGAGCTTCGCTCTGAAGCAGCGCTCTCATACAATGCTGCATAGCCATCAGGCTATTGTTATCCCATCTAGTCCAGGCCAATTGTGTACATAAGGGAAAGGGGAACAACAGATCCAGCAGCGAAAAAGAGGAGGAGGGAGATAGGTTCAGTAGTCCCTTTGAATGGAAGCATCAACAGAGCGGCTTGGGAGCAGCTCACACCCCTTCACCTCACTTGTGTGCCCTTTTTACCCTGACACTGCAGCGCAAGAGTATAAGCCTGATCAGGCTTTAATCAGACATTGTTAAATAAGGAATGAGATCTATGAATCTCAATCCATATAGCGTTCAGACAGAGCATAGAAACCAATTGATAAAGCTTGCCAATATTAAGAGTTATTCGCTACAGCCTTTGTAACAAGCTAAATAGCTCTAATAAATCTTATAGCTACCTTTTTGCTTGATTAGCTAAAGGAAGCAATCAGAATATGGAATAAGCGTTTTCAGATTATATACAGTATGGTTGCAGCTGCTATACTTGAAGCAAACTCTATATGCAGAGAAGCTTTGCACTTGCAGCAAAAGCACTTTGATGCTCTTTAGCAAGTTATAGAGCTAGCAACAGCTGAAAAGAAGCATCATAAATAACTACTACTCAAACTTGGAATCTGGAAAGAAGCATGAAACAGTTCTTTCTATACTAAGTAGTAGAAAGCAATGCAATTAGAAATCCAGAGACTGGTTAACAAAAGGGTATAGCAGACTCTTGAGCATAGAAAAGCTAAAGAGAAGCTACTGCTATTCAAATGAATATATAGATACAAACTTGATAAGAATAATTACTTAATCTCATTCAAAGCTCGAATCTATATGCAAGAAGATTTGCAAAAAGCAAGCAATCTTCAAGATATGTATACAGCAATGCTAGCTGCATGCTTCTTTTGCATACTTATAGCTATAGCAGCATATTTTAATCTAGAGATTAACTAGATGAATATTATCAGAGCATTTCTGAATACTAGCAGGAAAAGCTAGGAAAGTATTTTCTGTAAGCTGCTTAATGGATTTAAGGAAGAAGAGAAAATTATGCTTCTGGAAAAGGCACTATACAGTCTGAGGAACTTGCTAGTACTCTGGTACAGGCACTTCTGCTCAACTCTGCGAAATCTCAGCTTTACATCCTCAACTGAAGAGCTCTGTATATTTATTAACAAAGCAAATAAGCTGATTATTCTATTCTATGTAGATAATATTCTGCTATTCTATCCGCAGAATCAGATATTAAAGATATGCAGAGTAAAGAAAGGGATCTTCGAAATATATAAGATAAAGAATCAGAGAGCAGCGGAATAGTTCTTAAGAGTTCGAATCATCAGAGATAAAGCTAACTGTATAATTAGTCTGATTTATAATGTATACATTGAGAAAATAGCTAACAAGTTTAGCCTTGCAGCTAATATAGCTTTAATACTTCCAATGCTTCTAAATCTTGAAAAGCTTATTAAATGAAAAGAAGAAGCATTAAAAGATTAAATCAAGAAGTACTAGGAGAAGATTGAATCGATTCTGTATACTGCTATTATGATAAGATCAGATATAGCTTTTGCATGCACTCTTCTCTTCAGATTTTTGATAAATCCAGGATTAAAGCATCTGGAATAAGCAAACAGAGTAATCTGTTACCTGTATGGAACGAGATTTCTAGCAATTCAGTATAGAGAAAGCTACTCTAAGGCTTAAGCTCTGCTAATTGCTAAAGATACTTCCTTTGCTAACGATGCAGAGAACCGAAAATCCTTACAAGAATATATCTTCAGCTTATTTAGAGATTCTATATAATAGAAAGTAATAAAGCAAAGCCTAGTAATCATCTCAATTACAGAGGCTGAACTATACGCTCTCTTAGCTACAGCTAAGGAAACGATCGCCTTATAACGCTTCTTTCAAAATCTTATCTTAAATCTTAGCAAGCTCTGAAATATCTTCTGTAATAATTAACAAGCTATACAGCTGATAGTTATAAAGCATGAAAGAATAAATACAAAGCTTTGCTATATAAATATATACTAAATGTAGCTCAAGTAGGAGTTTCAAAAGAGCAAATTCCAGATCTCATATATGCTAATACAGAGCATACTAGCTAATAAACTGACTAAGAATCTCAATTGAGCGCAATTCGAATACTTTAGAGTGCTTTTCAATCTTCAGAATATTAGCTATGCTTTGAATTAGAGAACTAAGAAGAAATCTAAAGAAATATAAATAAGTAATTCGATCTTATATTAGCTTCTTTTAAATGCTTTTAATTACTGAATTTCATTTATTAAAATTAAAAACAAGAGCTTATAGCTTAGAAATATTATTCAGAAATATGCAAACTAAGCATACAGTTTTTATCAAATAATGAACCAAAGAACTTAACTACAAAAAAATCCAATCATCTACTAAAGCTTAGAGCATATCTAAGCTTAAACAGAGCTTACTTCTTAAGTAGAGAGTAAAGAGTAGCTAGCACTGTTTTAATATCAGCTTTAGCTTTCTTATGCTTCAGATGCTATTTACAGTAAGATTCAACAGAATAATTATCAATAGAGCGCAAGACAGATTGAATAGCAGCTTGTTTTCCCTTCTTCTTAGCTAAAATTACAGCCTTCCTCTTCTTAGCAGAGCATAAAACTGCTTCCTTATGATTAGCCTTCTGCTCAGCAAGAAGCATATTATGCTCTTTCATGAGCGCCTCAATCTGCTTCTGCAGCTTATTAACCTCCGAGAACTTGCCTGCTTCAAAATGCTCAAGAGCAGCTTTCTAAGCCTATACAGCATGCTTGGATCGGATTTCCAGAGGAGCAAGATTGAGAGTGGAGTTTTCCTTCTTTACTCCAGCGCGCATTCTTTTTTTTGAGAGCATAGGAGCATCCATCTTCTCAGCAGAAGTAAATGTATGCTTAGCTATATAAAGCTTATTTACAAAAGGCATAAGGTAGAAAGGAACTGGAATATACTTGTAATTCTTCAAATACTGAGCATAGTAAGCAGCAGATAAGTTCTTCTGATTATAATAGAAACTATTAGAGCTGCTTGCAGCTAGACTCTTGATATAGCTAATGTATGGAATATTGCGAATAGCACTTCAGAAAGCATTATCTTAGCTCTTTGAGGAATCTGCAGCAGGAGTACTGGAAGGAATAGCTACTGGAAAAGTCTTTTTGGCTTGCAACCAAGGAGTTCTCAACTTAGCAGCGTCTCCAGCAGCCACATTGAAGCGCTTCTGCTGAAGCTTCTGCATTAATGCATCCTAGGATCTCAAACAAGCTATACTCTGCTCGGTAACAAGCCTTGTTGCAACTGGCTCAGAATTTGAAAAGCTACTGAAAGCCTGAAAAAGGGTTAGCTAGGTAAACATTGGAAGAAAAAGCAGTGCGAATCTACAGTCTTGAGCGCCTCCTAAAGAAGTATAGAGCTGTTTTCATCATTATTGTTATTATCATTGATAAACAAGCTAGAAATCTCTATAGAACTAGCATTAGAGCGCTTGGAAAGACTAATACTAATTGAATCGGAGATATTATCAACTGAAGAATGCAAAATCAGAGTATTAGCACAAGCAGCAGACGATTCGACTGAAGCTTAAGAACTTGAAGCAGGCAGGCCAGACTGCCATCCCTGGAAACAAGAACAATCAGTTCAGCTTATATCAATTCCTAAGCAGCTTTTTCTATACTCATATCAGAAAGAGAATGCTAACTAGCAGTTGGAATCAAGACAGGCTGAACAGAGCTTGCACTCTTCTCTATAGCTATCGAGAAACTACTATGCAACTCAGATATACTAGCAGAGGAGCTAGGATTTGCATTCAAGGAATCCTCATCAGTCTTTACATCGGGAGAAGAACTAGAAGAGGCTATATAGATCTTGCTCTCAGCAGAGTTGCTATTATTGGAAATAGCTATACTGAGCTCGCTGAGAGGAATAGAAACGTTAGACTCGCCTAACGAGAAATCTGGAGTAACTAGAAGAGGCATATTAACGTGCAGAAGCTTTCAAAAACCTTGAAAATAGATGGAAAAAGAGCTAGTTGAAAAAGAAAGAGAACTGGAAGGAGGCAAAGCAACTGTAAAACGCGCCCACATAAGCTTAAACGCATCTGCAGGGACCCTACAAAAGACTCACTTTTCTGGCACATCTGATCAGTCAGATGGGGGGTGTATGAAAAATGAGGCATATTTAATCCTAACTCTCTGTTTTGGTCTCCTCATAAACCATCTCAGAGCCTGGTTTAGTTACTTAGAAGATCTTCCTTTTGTATTAGATAGATTCAATCTCAATACTCATTCAGCCACTTCCACGTGCTCAGCTCATACGTTTCTCCTTAGTTATTGCTCTTGCAATAGTTGTACTTTTCCTGTTATTGTTCCCCGCAGCTGTGGCATAGCAGTGCTTGAGTGGCGCAGCGCCTACTCTCTGATAAAGCCTTGAATACGGGTTTCAAAGTTGCTATCTGACCGAATATGCTACATCGGAGCGGCAGATTTCTGTAGATCTCCGAATCTGCTGAGCGTATCTAACTTGGCGTAGGGGAGTCGGAGCAAGGAAACGCCACCTTGGCTTGCGCCCACGTTCGTGGCACGAATTGACGAACCAAGATGACTCGCATAACATAATGAGTGCCGAAAGTATCGAAAATGTCGAAGGGGATGTTCTTTCGTTCCTATTCTCGACCAGGTAAGCATGTATATATCGCCGTGGGGGAAGAATCCCAATACATACGACAATATTGTTTATCTTGATGGCAGAGGTCGGGGACTTTGGAAGGTGGTGCAGTTGCTCGGGCAGGGACAGGTTGCTCAGGGCTGGGACAGATAGGAGGGTGGTCAAGATTTTATATTCTCAGTTCTATGTACGTAGTGGATCTTCTCCTGCTAGACCTTCTTCGCCTGATAAACCACACTTTGCCCGATTAGCAACGGAAATGGATAAGCCGAACGCGATGAAGGTGGTCGACTCACAGTTGAACATACGCATTTTGGGATCCAGCCCAATGGAGGTCCAGCCATCAACCAAAACGCCTTTCGTACCGACTCGCTTCATCTTTGAAGGCCATGCTGAAGAATGCTTCGCCCTGCAAACTGTCATCAAGGGGAACGTAGTTGTGATAGCTGATCAACTTGAAACCCGCATCCTGGAAGCGAGCATGAAGGGCATACTCTTGCGCGTCCTCCTGGTATATCTCCAGAATCTCGAGGTATGCAGACCTTTTCAAGGTCCGATGAGCACTTTTCAATAGCATCTTAAACCCTTTATTACTAGGAAGCGGAGTCATTATTGCAACCCGTATCCAATCTTGTGAGTTGTCTACTAGTGGAATTTCCTCATCGAGAGCATCTACTCGAATTGGATTGTGATTGGGTAAGTTCCATCCCTTCAGATCGCTCTCGCGGGGTGACTGATAGATTGCTGTCACGGTTGAGTGAGAATAGGATGCCTTTTCCAGAGACTAAGATATGTTAAGACTTCCGTAGTCGAGGATGCTTTTACCGTGCCAGAAATTATTTGGAGCGCTTGAATACTGTTCCAAAAAGCTTATTGGATCGGGAAAATTTGGCAACTCTGCTACTGAGATGGGTGAACGCTCGTCTTCGCCTTCAAGAGTAGAGCAGGCTGAGGCCTCATTCATCATCCCGCTGATGCTGATATCATGCAGGCGAAAGAACTGTTCCAGAGTGCTCTTGAAAAGGCCAAGCACTAGTTTTCCCTGCTGTGGCTAGCTATAAAGTGTTATCGTTAGAATTGCAAGATATAGCAAGTTAGAATAGATACATATCTCATTCTTCAGAGAGTTGCTTTTGACTACTTGGGCGTATGAGTAACAGAGGGCTATATTTAGTTTCAAGAAATGAGGAACGAGAGATTTCAAAGGAGCTGTTACACGGATAGGGTGCGCCTAGCACAATGGCATCCGAGTTAAGCGCCGGGGCAAATTGGCACCATCTCAGCAACGATGAGTTGGCGACGATCTTTCGTGAACACGTCGACCCAACGTGCAGGAGTCTGGAACAGTTGGGCATCAAGGCATCACTACCAATGTAACCCTCGCCGTCTATAAGAAGGCGAGGCCAGGACGCCCTGACTGAGGAAAGGGGGAGGAACCTCAAGCACTCCTTAGACTCCCTTAGCAATTATCATTAAAACTGAAGCTACTTCAAAGCCCTCTACCAGAGCCCTTGTAACAGGAGCTGCAGGAAGGCTCTGAATTAGAAGCTTTGGGGTCGTCTCTGACATCTCGAGGTGGTCTCCAGAGTGGCGGTGTGCGTTCTCGAGATTGAGAAGCTGCAGGGACAATTGCACGCCTCGCTCAGCATGGCGCGGCCAGCAGGTATCTCCAATGGGCAGTTGAGCAGCAGCATTGACTCGCCCGGAATTCAAGCCAGAGCCCGGGAACGCCAAGTCGTAGCAGTGATAACACTGACGAGACCCAGGCGGGTGCTTGGCCTTTCCCGGCCCAGTTTCTTTTCCTTGCTCTCAGTATCCTCTGTAGCCAACAGACAGACTCATCCATCGAGAAGAACTTTTTCTAGCAAGTGGATCATGGGCAACAGCTCAGCAAGTTCACGCTATCACATGGTATCCAGTCCCATATCCCTACTCCCGAGATAGAATGCGGCAGTCTGACACTTGCATAGCGTGAATCTTACAGCCCATCCAGACCCAGAGCCTTGACCGGGCGCCTGGGATCTCAGTCCACTCACACCTCGATCCTTTTCCAAATAATTTGCTTCAAGATTGTCATAGCAATCGCGCTCGAGATCTTTATTCCAGTCTGCCAATTTAGCAGGAATCCGCAATGTCTGTCACATCAAAACATGGTCCCGATCATCACAGGTTAAGGATGCGTTGGGGAGTGCATGATCCATCTGCCATCATCAGAGCCAAAGGCTAGATAATCCTGCATTAACACTTTATTAATTTCTCCCTTTGCAGACCATCCGACCGTGGTCTTCTCCACACCACTCACAGGAATAAGGAGCGGCAAGAGGCCTGCATGGCGCGTGACCAAGTTGGCTATTGTTTTCGGCGTCTCTCCGGGATCCCGTATACGGGGCGGCTGTATCCGGGTGGAGAGGTTCAAATACGTCCATCCAAGCTGCTTGCAATAACATTGATGCCATTGGTTCTCATCATTTCACCGCTCGTTAACACGTACCATCCCCATCCACCTTGAGTGCATGTGATCATCTTGGAAGGATAAGCTCGGGCTCGGGGTTCTGCTCGAAGCGTGGGGGCAATACGGAGAGGAGCTGGTGCGTCATTTGCTATGTTGATTGTATTCGAGTTAAGATGGGCTGAGAAGGTGGACGTGGGGTGCCATATGCAATTAATAGCTGTTACGTGATCCAATGCACTACAAAGGTCTGCTTTGTACTCAGGGTTGAATCAGTTTGCAACTTTCTGCATGCTTTGCAAAAATATCATCTTCGATGATTTTGTGAAACCATAAGCTTGTACTCAGGCTCGTTAAAAGACAGATTATCATTGCATCATGCCTTCAAAACTTTCGGATAAGAAGAATGAGATCAAACTCTCTTGTCTGAGACTGCGAGAGACTCTTCAGGCTGCAATGCGGGATGGTACAGAACGAACAAACGTCCGCGGTATCGTAAGTCAAAAAGTCCAGGCTCTCTTCACTTTTGCTGTTCTAACGATCCAAATATAGAAGAGAAAGAAACTCACATCAAGGGCTCTTGATTAAGATACGACAAGATGCGAGAAATGATCTTCAAGCAGCACGCAACCCGATGTTGCAAGAATTAATGAAGTAAGTTTCCTAAATCTGGATTTCCTCTGCTGCCGTCTCTCACACTTCCCAGCGGGGAATGCCAACGCGAGATGGAACAAGAACTCAGGAAGGCAAGGAGCCACTTCCACAACAGAGAATCACGAAAGGGAATCAAGGCCCGAGATCGCAAGCTTCAGCAGTCCACGCCTCTCACGCGGCCTTCTAGCTCTCTGCTGCCATCACTAATGAGCCGTACACATACTGTAGCACCGTTAGACATCCATTTCCATCCGCCTCCTATGCCACCTCCAACCAACTGGATGTGAATAGAACAATGTTCGAAGGAGAAGAAGGGACAGGAAACAGCGGGAATAGGCAAAGGGAATTGAGAAGCAGAAGCGGGAAATAATGTGCGAAGGACGAGGCATGCGCGCGGCAGGAAGAAAGAGAGTGTGTGTGTGTGTGCACGCGCGTTTGTAGCACAGATAACCGGAGTCACACATGAACGCCCTATCATACGGCTTTCGGAATCGGCCATCGTGGATTGTTTACCTAAAAGTGCTGCCTTGTTTCGCCCCACCACCGCCGCCTACCCAAGCCTTCCATATGTCTCCTCTGCTATGCTGTCTGCTCGGCTGTGAAATATGAATTGCACTTGTGAATATCACAGTTAATTATAAGGACTGTTCGTTTGGGAAAATGCCTTACCTATGTGTATGGAACTGGGATTTGCCCCATTGGGCCATGGCTGCATATGTGGGATGGGAGCTGCCTGCGAATCCTCTAGCACGGCCTCCAACGCTCACTTCCGACAAGTAACGACAGCATGGTGGATCAGACCCTGGAAGAATGATTTCTTCCTCCAGGTCTTAATCGGCTGCTTCGACTACGGACGTGTGATCTTGATGTGTTCGGATTCCTTCCGCTGACAGCACAGTGAAGCGCAGGGGATATTTACCTGGCTTCCAAGGTTTCCGACCAACCTGCATTCATTTTGCATGACGGGCATCCACAATGCAGGCATTATTTCTGCTGTTATCTCTCAAGGTGATCAGAGCTCTTTGTGACATGTCTTCTACTTGAGAATTCGCCCGAGGAGTGCTTTTCTTTCTCGTTGGCATCACCGCGGACGTGTCAGCACCCTTGGGTAAACTGCAAACGATCCCAAATGATCCCACCAGGTCCTTGGAATGAGTATTATAGAACGGTACATCGCACATGAATCTTGAGGTTCCCAACTTCGATTTTTTCCTCTCCAAGCTATCGACAGATCCCGATCTCCTAGAACCAAGTTGTCCTTGCAAATATTTCCACTTTTCATCCCACTGCTTCTCTCAATATGGCATCTTCCAGGCTATTCTTCATCAGCAAGAAGAACTTTACGGTGGCAACTCATGCCAATGATTGTCCACAGCCCAGGGATGTGAGTACCCCTAAGGGTATATTGGCGTTTAATAACACGTATTTTCGATCACTATTATTCAAAGGTCTTGGTAAATCATGCTGATTGGAAGTGTGGTTGTGGACACCTCAATCCGGACAATGAAATTGTTTGCGGTGGATGCGGTAAAAGACCGCACTCAGGCCATTAGAGGCGGAGAGGTTATAGACCGAGGCAGAATTCAAACTTTACCCCTTTTACCCCGAGGCCTTTCCATCCCCAGAAGTATCCACAGTTCCGGCTATTCCCTTTCTATCCAGAATTGAAAGCCAACAACCTCCTGAGAATGCAGACTAGGCATGCAACCTTCCCTGCTCTGATTGAGAGAGAATTTTGTCGTGTCACTGAGGATCCACTCAGCTATTCCCATTTTGTACAGAATTGAGAGCCAGCAACATACCACATGTCCCTGGGCCCGCCTAAAGTGGATCCTTTCTTGACCAAGGAACTAGGACTCCGGTATGACGCAGGAGATCGCCTGACCGCAGGTGGAGGTGGAGCGGGGCGCCTTTTCCGTTCTTGTGCCAAATTGGGTTCTCTTGACCACCACAATGTCCACCTGCAAATCTGCGTTAACCAGTGTCCAATATGGAACACACGAGCAGTTGTCGTGGGTTTCAAGACTCCAGTGACTTTTCAGTTGTCTTCTATGATCCGAACCAACCGTCCGAGGGAAGGTTAATCAACGACGAGCCCAAGGCTAGGTGGGAAAGACTTGCGGACAGAATCGTATCAGCGCAAGGCAGACTTTATGCACGCCTCGAGACGCCGGCACTCGCTGATCTTGGCCTAGCACCTCGTGCTGGCCAGGACAAGACCCCAGACGCTGGTGGAAATCATCTGCTTGACATCACCACCCGTCTCGGGCATGGTACCAAGCTAGCAACCCCAGGAAGAGAGCTGCGAGAGCTACTTTTTGCGTCCATCTGCTCAATATTATATGCCTCGGGGCGCGCCGCACCAGAGGAGCTCGACAGGATTATGGGCATTTGTGTGCAATCCTCAAACTCCAGATATCTAGATCGGCTAAAAAGGGGTGCAAAGATTGCCAACGAGATTATCGCCTTGTGGGCCGTCCCGGAAGACCATGCTTGCAGGAATGGATGCCAGCTCGACACCCAGCTGCAACGACTTGATCAAGCAACACAAGCAATTCTCCAAGGTATGCCTTGTTACTAGCTTCCTGTTGCCTCATAATGCTAACCAAGCTCAGCTCGTTTAACCCTACCACAATGGGGACTTTTGAACAGTAACAGCAGCAACGTGAAAAGATACATACAGTCTCACCCTTTACCTCACGCACCGCCTACTACTGCGAGACCGCCGCTGTTCATCCCGTGTCTCATCGAATCCATTACCAGCGGAATTTTAAGGTACATAGCTTTTGCTTTCTTCACAGCTCGAAGCCGATGAGTAACATGCCAACAGTATCCCGCAGATATGTTCCTATCTGGGCTATAGTTCGGAACTAGCATCACGTATGGCCGAGGTTCGCTCGTGGCGGAGCCCGTCACTCGAGTCTTAAATAAAGTGAATTCGCGTGATTATTGGTCTTGGGATAATCTGATCGCTTAGTAATTACCAATATTTGTGCATCTATGACCGTTTCCATGCCAATTTGTCGTCTCACACTGAGGCCATGGATCTTGTCTCCCGTCATTCCGCGTGGTTCGAGAAGTACAAGGGACCCGGATCGTTGGCTGACAACCCGACATCGGGAGCTGAATTTGCGGGCAGAAGAACATGAGATGTGAGGAGGGGCGGGGTGCAATTGATTCTGATTCATTAAGCTTTTCTTGATCATGTTCTGCCAAGAGAGACGGCCAAAGCCTTTTGCGACGCGAGGGGCGCCCAGCATCTGGGGACATTTTGGCGGCTCAGGAGGCACTGGAACGTTCGTATTCCGGCAGGTCCAATTCGCACATGGGGGCAGGGCAGCAGGGCTACAAAATACTATAGTAGTGAAATTAATGAGGAAATCTTTTACTAGTTTGCCTGGCAACCTGTCTTGATGAGTACCTAAGCATTGTGTCTTGACTAGGTTGATTACTGCCCGCGACGCTTCTCTGGGCTTAATCATGTCTTGTTTTTGTAATCAAGGGGATAAGGAAGAAGAGGCGACAAAAGGCGCACATGGCGTAAATGGGATATTGATTTAGACAAAGTGCAGTCCAAATATTTACATATCTCGCAGTTCAATATAGACCGCCTCCGATAAAACACCAATATGACAAGTCCATAAGTGCTGGGAACTTCTGACTCGGCCTTCGTGCACTTGGTTATCCATACAGAAATGACACGAAGTATTCTTCATAGGACGGCCGATTCACAAACCACGCCCCCCCCCCCCCACCTTCGTCAAGCTTCCGCTACCTCCCAGTCAACGGATAGGACCACGAGGGCGGTCTCGAGGAAGTCCGAACAATTCAGCTGCAATAGGAGCTGTTCACCTGAGCAACCTTGTCTGTGATCAAAGCTCAGAACATTGCAACGAGGAAACGTCGCTGGCTGCGCTCGACCCTGTCAGGATGACCAGCACACGCGACCCGTCTGCACGTTCTGGAGGCTCATCCATCCACCCAAGGATCAGCAGTCCACAAGGCTCGTGGACTGATCTGCCACTTGCTCTACTGAAATGAACAGGCTGAGGAACGCCACATAGCTGCACCCGGTTCTGTTAGGATAACCAGTACACGCAGCCTCACCCGCCTTTGCTGGGATGCTCCAATTGTTACGTAGAAGTCGTCGCTGGCTGCACCGAACCCTGTCAGGATGACCAGTACACAGCACTTCACCTCGGTCTACCTCGTCCTGCCTTGTCTATCTTGTTATAGCTAACCTCTTTTTGCCTTAGTACTAGCTGGTGACGACCGGCTCTGTGTAACTGTGTTGCTCTTTCTGGGGCCCGCTTGTGCCTGTTTGCGGGCGCTCTTTGCCTCATCGAACTGACTCCTTTTCCTCTTGTGGCCGGATGTGCTTGGTTCTGCTGGTGAAACTACCGAAGTTGTGTCCATTCTCATCTCTTGGCCGGCGGTTCAAGGGTGTCGTCTTCGGCTGGAGACTGGCTCCGCTTCCGCATCGATGTCGACTCTGGAGCTGGCCTGGAGTTCGGTAGGGAACTCGGTAGGGAAGCATATTCAAGGTCTTCAGATCGACCTCTTGGAACCGGACTGTAAGGCCCCGGTTCGCACTCGCTGATCTCGCTGAGGGATTTGCTGGGAGGGTAGACTACCGATGGTCATATGACGGGGTTAGGAAGGTTCCCGGGCTCTGCCAGCCCGTTTTCGATCCGGATATCTGATTCAATCTGAAAGACCATCTGCGCTATTTCTTCTTCATCCAAGCCTTCTTCGCTATTTGGGAATAGCAGTTGCACTTGTTTTAGCTTGTAATAGTTGTTGAGGAACTGCTAACGCCATGCGTCTCGGTGGGCCTTGAATCTGATGAAATAGTTGTCGTCTGTCTCGTCGGAATGTTGTGGAGAACAATGCTCTGTAATGCATTGGGTCAATACATTAGCTATAGCAAATGCAGATGGTGATGAAGTACTGTGGGACCCCTACCTGCCGGACACCTAAATAGAAAACGTCCCATATAAATGCTACAAATTCGCACCACCACAATTAATTCAATTAAAGCTATAAAATAACAAGCCATATATCTTTAAAACGCCCTGAATCTGCTCAATCTAAATATCTAGCTAGCATACAGCTAGCCCTACCAGAAGATGTACGAATTGGTACTGAATCCTCATCTGCAATTTCACCGGACTCCTCATCACTATCCTCTTCAATATCTTCGTCTTCAATCTCTATAACGCTCTCAGCAGGCAAATCCTCCTCTTCAAGGGGTGAGGCGGCTTCTTTTCCACCTGCAACCGCCTCGGAAATAGTTATAAATCGTTTGTTAGGATTGGGGATCTTCTTGCGCTTACAGGTTTTAAAAATGGCTTCGTTCTCAGCTGTTATGACCCATCCAGCATGCAGGTCACGGAACAGGCCCCGCCAACATCTTCCATTCGACGAAGTAGTTCCAGCGACGAGGGCGTGTTTAATAACTTTCCCAAGGTCAGCTCTGCCTCCCAGATGGGCTTAAGCCTCAGTGTATTCACATTAACTCAGACTATCACAACGTTGGTTACCACGACCAAAGTGACGACCGGCTAGGAGCAGCGAACATGGGTCTTGATAATAGACTCTTGGCCATACGTTACGTTCTGAATTAGTGTTATTGGTTCATTTGTATCTTGACTAGTGTTTTGTTAGTGCGAAACAAGTTTTGAGTTTATATTTTCCTGGTTCTCTTAGATCACATGACCCAAGAGGCTAATGAAGAGTAATTGAATTTGTTGTTGGTGATTATTATCCTAATATTATGAGCTGATAGATATAGTTGATGCTTTGGGGCCATATCACTAATGGTAGTCTGAGCCTGGTGCTCAGGCATGATTCTTAAAATGGATCTCGTTCTTTTTTCATTTAAACATGAATCTTATATTAGAAACAGATTAATGCTAAATTTAACCTTTATAGACAACCTGTTAATCATCGTTCTAGGTTCAGAATTTCGAAGCATCAGATTGTTATATATTATTTTCCAATTCCCGCGATACGGACCTCGTTCCAGCAACCTCCATCTCTACTTATACTTGCATTTTCCATTTTGGCGACAAGATCATCACCTCTTACGCTAGTCATGACGCATATCAAATGCCGGGTGCTCTGCGAACACGGTTCACCTGTGCTCAGGATACATATCACGCTGGAGTATCCGCAGGCACAGCCCGTCGTGCAGTTCACATCCTATACAGGGGCTGATGGCAGAAGCACGAATTGGACTCCGGCTTAACCTTCATTGAACCTTCATGGAATCCTTCAAGGCGTCTCGGTATTGCCAAATCCGGTTGTAATCTTGTCTTTTGCAACCGCTGGGCTTTTTGGCATATATCGGTCTCAAATTCGCACTGATTATCTGCTTGGTACAGGGTCTTCACTATTTTCCGACCCTGATTCTCAAGCATGAAACACCGACGCCAGACTACGTCTTTCGATACCTATCTTCACCAATCCCTGGATCCCAGTATCGAGGTCCCTGGCCGAGGTATCCCTCATCCTATCTTTCAAATGCTCCGCAATGCCAGCCAAAGGATTATCGGCCTTCTGTCTCTGTCTTCTGGCCACCAATCATGACTCGATCTTGCAGGACACAGACAACTTCTCATCAGCTCGGATCCTCTACACCTACCCAACAACAAGAACCTACTGCTTCAAAGAACGATTCGCCTTCGCCACAAGAAGAGAACAAGCTCGCAGGCATGAAAGCTAAGGAGTCTACTAGCTCCTAAACATGTTCGGGGAGCCATTGTGTGAGAAAGAATTAAGTGTATTTCAGTGGTTAAACACAGATTGTCTTTAGTTTTCCTTGTTTATTTATCTGGTTGTTCAAGTCTGTTATTCGGATATTGCTTGTAAACTAGTACAGAATGTTCATTTGTTTTTTAATCACAAGATCCCTTGACTATGTGTTCCAGTTGCTTGTATATTCCTGTGCAGTTCAGATCTTGACCTGTTATAAAGGAGAAAATTTGTTCATTCCATAAACTCGCAGAGGTCATATTAATATCCATGCAAGATGTATAAATTTCCGGAATGAGAACTCTAGTCGAGCCAGTTGTAGCATTCGAAGTAATTGTAGGCCAGTCCCATACCCAATACAAAGTATACATTGTCCCACCTGGTAAATCGCAAGGCAGACGGACGTCAGCCTGGCACCATAGGTCGCTTCCTTGGGGGTCCTCGGCAGCCTTCGGGAACCGACCTTGTCTATCAACAGATATATTTCCACCGTTGATTTGGTAGCACTGACCATCATCGAAATTCATCTCTGCGAGGAGTCTACCTCGCTGATCGCCTCCCTGGCCATCAGCAGTCTAAACATTGTGGATTTTTAGCAATGTGTCATTGCGAGAAGGGTTCGCCGTACCGTAAATGTACATAGTGCCGCGGTTTTTAGGCTTGCTTGTTGAGGGTAAAGTAACATGGCCATTTTCCTGATATTGTAGAGCGACAATATCTCCTGGAGCAGCATTCAGCATAGGGTAGTCGCTGCTGTAATTGCTAATAGTCTGAATGGACTTGCATATCGGGTTGTTTGAATGGATAATCTTGCCGTCAGATCTACCATTGGGTGGGATCAGGTTCAGATCGGCTTCCTCATCGAATCCCGCAGTGCGAGGTGTATAAGCCCGCATGAAACCTGGAGGGTTAACCATCGTCCCGTTAGGCGCAATACGGAATAAGCGCTCAACCCATGAATGGGAAACTGCGACTTGAATTAGTGCGAAGAGGAAAATTCTAATAAGCATGATTGGATCGAATCGGATGATAGATGTTGGAGAGATGAATTCTTGTTCAGAAGCTGTCCACTAGACACAATATATAATACTTATAAAGACACCAGACACAATATAAGTCAAAGCACCCCCTTCCCGATCACCCTGGTCAACCACACCGCCTTTTCAACCCCTCGATATATTTTTAATTTTCTTCATCAATCCTCTTCTAATTCACTTCAAACTTTCAGCATAGAGTAAATACAATCCAATGAAGCAGTATACGGAATCTGAAATCGTTGCCGCCCTCGAGGCTATCAAGACAGGCTGTTCTCTTCGCAAGGCCTTGATCGAATGGGGTATCCCTTATACAACACTTCAAAACCGTTTAACAGGCGTTCAGTCTCATCAGATAGGTGCTGAATCTTTTCAAAGGCTCTCTTCTATCCAAAAAAGAAAACTAGCTGAATGGATCCTGGTTTAGGAAAGCTTAGAGCTTCTACCAAGCTATTCAGAGTTGAGATTCTTCGCACGGAAGATCCTTCTCATCAAAGAAGATACTAAACCTCTTGGAAAGAGATAGATCCAGGGTTTTTTTGAAGAGGAATCCTAAGATACAGATTAGAAGAACTCGCCGGATGGCTTTCGAACGAACTAATGGAGCTACAACAGAGGTAATACGGCCTTGGTTCTATCTTTTCAATCTTCCTCGCATCCAAGCTATCAAGCCAGCTAATCAATGGAATATGAATGAAGCTGGGCTTGTAAAGAGCTAAGGAGAGAATGTATTAGTTCTTGGAGGCTCTTCTTCACATTCAATCCAAAGAAAAGAGCCTGGATCAAAAGCCTGGATCTCTTTCCTCGAGTATATCTCAGCTACAGAAGCTTACCTTCTTCCTCTGGTGTCTTTCAAAGAGCAAACTGTACAGCAGCAGTGGTTTCCTGTTGATTTGAAGCCTTTTGAGAGCTAGCAGTTTACTGCTATACCAAACAGATGAACTAATGATAAAATAGCACTTGAATAGCTAGAAAAGATCTTCATTCTAGGCAGCTTATCAGCGGATCCCTCAGAGACCAGACTATTAGTTCTGGATAGCTATAACAGCTATAAAACTGATAACTTTATGTAGCAATGCTATTAAAACAATATACTGTTGATCTACTTGCTTCTTCATACTTCTTATATATTTCAATCTCTCGATCTAGAGATCTTTTCATCCATCAAACAAGCATACAGAAAGGAAGTTAGCAATATGAGCTAATGAGAGGATTCAACCATCGCAGGCAAGCGTTTATTCCTCAAGCACTATCGTCTAGCTCGTCTGGAAGATCTTTCAAGCTAGAATATCAGATCTGGATGGAAAGCAACTAGTCTATAGCCCATGAAACCCTTTAAAGCGCTCTTAAGCCCTCTTCTCCTCGAGAATAGTTAACCAAGCATTCAGAGCTAGTTAAATTCAGCCTCAATACCATCAACAGTACCTAAGCTTCCCCCAAAAGCCTCATCAAGCCAGCCTGTGGTTTTTTCAACGCCTTACAAGGCTAAACAGCTATATCACCAGCTACAGGAAACTCAGCAGCATCTTTCAACAGACTCAGGCTGCTGTATGCTATTCAGGAAGATAAAAAAGGCTGATGACGAGAGAGACCTCGAGTTTGCAAGAGCATTGGAGGAAAATCAGATGTTGAGGAAGCAGATTGAGGCGCTGAAGCCTAGTAAAAGAAGAAAGGTCGATATAAGCCCGAATTCGAAGTTTGCAGGGATTGAGGATATACAGAGAGCTCGAAACGCAGTCAATCGAGATGAGGATAGTCTAGATGAAGAGAGCGGCCTTGAATTACCTACTAATGAGGAGGATTGCATTGTGGTGAGTGAATAGGATGAGTAAATCTATATGAAATATATATATATATATATACGGTGTGGTTGACCAGAGTGATCGGGAAGGGGGAGTGATCGGGAAGGGGGAGTGATCGGGAAGGGGGAGTGATCGGGAAGGGGGAGTGATCGGGAAGGGGGAGTGATCGGGAAGGGGGAGTGATCGGAAAGGGAGTGCTTTGACTTATACAGTAATTAATGTAATAGAACGATTGATCGACGGAACTGGATCGATAAGTAACATAAGAAAAAGCCAGTAAAATAATCGATCTAATACAATCTTATCAAGCTACTGTATTTTAGCTCAGAAGGCAAGCCATACTATTTACTATTACTGAATTCTCGACTTGAATTCTTCCTCCATCATAACGCATCTCGACAGCCTTCTATGAATTATTCTAATCACAAGGGCTTTGTCTTGTATTAAAAAAAAATTAAAAATCACGAAAGGATTATGTATCAAACAGAGTAGATCCTGGAGCCTAAATTCGATTGATCACTATATGCAGCTATGATAGCTAGTCAGTGATAGCGAGTCTGCCTTCTTCCAAGCTTGTAAGGATTTGAATATATGAGCTGCTGGTTATCTCCAGCTTGAGAATAGAACTAAGAAGGTTTTCTGAATGAGAGGCGTGATGTTGAAATTCTGCTGGATAGCAGGCATCGATAGTAGCATCGAGAAGAGCCACAACAACTAAACGCTAAGCAAGAGACTTCTCACCCTTTATGACGTTAATTATGGGACAGCTTACTTATCGAAGGCGCTGGTTAAACCTGGGGCTTTCCGGAAAGCCATCAGCTCTTCGTCAGCCTTAAGCTTAATACTCGAGATCACATCCGGAGAGTACACCGGCGCTAAGGCAGAGTCTTCGAGCAGGTAACCAGCAATCCGGATAGCATGTATACGCCAGGATGGGTAATCCTCAAAGCATTCAGCTGCTTAGCCTTACTGCTCGCATAGCGGACAGAGAAGCGGGCTTGATGACCGCTGAAAATGAGCTCGGATATGTATAACCAGACCTTTCCGAGTTAAAAAATTGCAACAAAAAGAACAATGCTCTACAGGCTGAACGCTATGTTGTGCAGAGATATGAGAGATATAAGTATCGATACTGAGATTGTTCATACCGGGGCATGCTAAGCAAGTAATAATTTTGCTCTGATTAGTAAGATAGCTATTGATATAATTCGCATTGATATGATATACAAAGCTGTGAACAGAAACTCAGCTGTTACAGAGAGCGCACATGACTTCGGTGGCAGTGCTGGCCTTCGAGATCGAGACAGCGAGGTACTCGAGGAAGTTGGGAGCATCCTGTTTTCCATGAGCTCTTTCTATATAGTTGCTCTACTGCGCTGGTGATTGCGTAGTGAGCAGCGCTAGACTGTGGCGCTTGCATTCAGAGCACTGGAACGGGACTGATAACATAATTCTATGCATCCGTGCATGCCTCATCAGTTCGTTGCGCTGCCCGAAGCTCAGCCTGCAGATGAAACAGGTAGGTTTCGTCGTCCCCCTCTTTTCATCCGCAGTACTAGGAGCATATGTAGGCGCTCGAAGCTATTCTTGAGTTGAAGCCAGTTCCTGATGTAGGTTGGTCTGCTCAGCGCTCGGTTTTTGATCGCTTCCGCTGGGTTTCTGCATAACTGCTGTTTGGGTATCCTGGCCTATCTGTTCCTCATCTTGGCTGCATGCAGAAAATAGAAGTGATGGAAAGGCGCTGCAAGAAGTCCGGGAAATCAACTCAAAGCTGCCCTCCATATAGAATATCAGCTATTGCATAGCTTCGAGCAACCTAGCTTCCGCCGCTTTATCAAAAACAGTTCCCAGCGCTTATAAGTGCATCAGTCTGTCAATATTCAGTCTCAAATGCTGTTCTGAATTATTGTAGTGTTGATAGGGATTCTTCTGCAGGCTTCGGAAACCAGCCTTATCGTTTTCTTGCTAAAGTTGTATAGTCTGTTCGAAATATTCTTCCCGCTGCTTCTGAAGCATCAAATGCTTGAAACGAGATTGCTAATAACTCAAAGTATACTCTGCTGCTTTAACTTTACTCACATCAGCACCTCGTATCTTGTCAGGGCTTGTATGCGCACAAACGAAATAGGTGGCCCTTGCGACCCCTGGTGGCGGTTCAGAGCTGCTGCGAGGGCTCCGCTCCGAAGCAGCGCTCTCGTACGATGCTGCGTAGCCATCAGGCCACTATTATTTTAGCCAGCCCAGGCTGATTATGTACATAAGAAGAAGGGAAACAAGAGGTTTAGGAAAAAAGGAGGAAGGAAGTAGGTTCAGTAGTCCTCTCGAATAGAAGAGCCAACAGAGCGGCTTGGGAGCAGCTCACACCCCTTCACCTCACTTGTGTGCCCTTTTTACCCTAACAATTTCTGAAGCATCTTCTTATTCCAATATAAAGCTATACAACCGTTGCTATTAAGAATAAGCTAATAGATTACATTCTTTATATACTTATATTATATCTGAAAAGCATCTAGCTTTTATGCTAAAGCAACAAGCAGATAAGTAAAGCAGAGAAATGAGATAGATATTATCTCAAGATTGAGTTCAAATCTAGAAAATGATTAGATATGCATTCAAAGATAGATAGCAGGATAACAACATGCTAATCCTTATCTAATCTAATTAGCAAGGTGTTTCTTCTTCTCTTGTTACGGAACAGAGTTAAGCTTAACTTTAGTTATCAGCCTTCCGAACAGCTTGCATTCCGTTTCAGCTATAGTAAGATATCCTTCTATCTGAGATTAAGTACTATTCCAAGCTAGCAGCTAGAAAGGAAGAGGATAAGAAAGTATATATGAAATATAATATGATTCAAAGGCAGCATAGAGATGTGATTAGCATGCTTCTATAACATTTTCAGCAGCTTTTGAAGATTCTTAGCTATTACATTCATCTTAATATAATTACTATTGATAGTAAGATTCTACTTGTTCTTTAATATGATTGCAATTTTCTAAACGAATACATTAATTCAGACAGCTAAGTTACAAGAGCAGGAAGTTAAACTGCAGGTAGGAAAAGCAAAGAGGCGAGCTAGAAGCACAGGCTCGCTTGAGAGCATGGGTGGGAAAGGAAGAGAGAGCGAAGAAGGAAAGCATCAACTTGCTCTAGTAATATCGCAAACTAGCTCAATATCACGAGCACTAGCTATGCCTTAAGAACGAGCTAGTTGTATTCAAGCCTTGTTGGGATCTCTTTGTTTCTAAAGCCTTATAATCTCAGCTTCTGCAGCAGCAATTAGTTGCTTTATTATTCCATTTGCTATCGAAATGCAGATCACTGCTTTCTATCTTACTATATCAGCTATATCCCAAGCTCGGGTAGAGCAGCTCAACAACTTGATGTAGTTGTTAATAAAATCCAGAATGAAAGTCTTGGGTTTATAATTATCCTGAATAATTTTCTTTCAGACTTTCTTGCAATCAATCTCTGAATGCTTTAAAGATATGAAGCTGATATTGAGTTAGCTAAAAAAGCTAGATGCATACCAGTATAGCAAAACATACATATTCTACTCAGAGAATATCCTAGCACGATTATCCTCTGTGCTTTTAGCTAGCTTCGGTTTGCTATATTGCAGGAGAGATACGTAGCATGCATCTTTATCATCCTGAGGAATTGTATTCTGCACATTAAAGTGCAACACTCCAGTCTTCTTGCAGCCCATTATATGGAGCAGAAGTCGATTCAGATAGCAACAACAGCTCTCGATAGTCAAAACTGAGCGAGAAGTGAACAAAGACCCGCTGGGAGGGAAGAGAGCATAAGCGCAATGCTGGGAATTGCAATCAGGGGAGCATTGGAGATATATTCAGTGCACAAGGAGAGCAGCGAAGAACAAAGGCGGACAGGCAGCAGGCTGAGTAAAGGATAAGCTGAAGCGCAAAAGAAAGCAGCAGGGAGAGCCAGATGGGAATAGGAAACTCAAGTACTATATAGACAGGAGCCTGCCCCACGGAGCCTCGCGAATGCAAATAGCAGGTGGGCCGCAGTACGCGCCCCTTTGAAGACACACCAGGGCTGCGCCCCCCTCCCACCCCTCTGCCCCCAAAAAGTAAGGTGGCAGCCATGGTGGCCGGACGAGAAGTTGAAACGGAAGGATAACGGAAGGAAGGACGGGAGGCCGAGAAATCATGGCCGGGAAGCCGGGGGCTAAGCCGGGTTGGCGCCGGAGATATGCGCTATACTATATTGAGCAGAGCTGAGTCAGCGGGGAGAGTGCAGCGATTTTCACACTCCGCTCGCGGTCCACCCTTGCCTTATGCAACCATAACCCTAACCCTTGCTTACGTAATCATGGTTGTCTTTTCTGCCGTTTTTCTGCCGTGTTCCCAGCCCCGCTGGTTCTGTTGGCCTGTCCCTGTGACCTGGTCTGATTGTTGGTTCATAACAATAGTACAGGAGCCTATTCAGCGCATTAAGAATAACCTGAAGTTTAGGATCTCCTATAGGCTTAAATAGCTCCGGGAGGCGCTTATATAGGCAGAGCGAGAGTATCAATATATTGATACTATAGGCTGCAGCGAGTAGACTGGAGGCCGGGATCGCTGCAGCCCAGCAGCTCGTCTGTCTGCAGAAAAGAGTTGCATTGGACAATGCTGACGACGATAACAATGCAGACAGGCGCAGTCCTGGCAGTGACAACAATCCTGCCTAACCCTATCGTTATAGCGAGAAGGGGCAGCTATTTACGCCAGAGACGATTGTAGAACTCAAATGCAATATTGCTAGCAAGCTTCGGGAGGGGATACAAAAGCAGCAAGAGATGTTTGTTGGGTAATGTGATATCGAGCTTTCTACTTTCAGAACTTACTCGTCTGTTCTGCTGTTCCGGGTGCTTATTTCATGATCTGCATATTAGAACGGTTATACTATATTATGCTCAGAATTCTGTACCCTATTGTAAGAGTACTAGTATTGATAAAGAAATATCCGAATTGCTTAATTTTCGATAGAGTATAAATTGTCGAACTATAGACTGTGTAAGCTCAAGTCATAGTGATGAATATGTGTATCTATAACTTGTGGTTCCTGAACAGCTTGAGAAGATCTGACAACTTCCAAGGTTGATCAGAGCATGATCTCCGCCGCTAATTACTGTAAGCCGGCACTACATGATGTGTCTCTCCCTCTCTGTGAAGTAACTGCAATTGTTGAAGGTGGCAAGCGCTGTGGCCTGTGCAGGTTTCGTGAGAGAAACAATATGGCAGTAAAGAGGGCATATGCACCCCTCGGTTGTGTGACGAAGAAGCAGTCGGATACAGATCCAGGCTGAGTCGGAAGGTAGACATTGCTTCTCCAGGAAGACCCACTAGGTACTAACCAGATATCCCATAATCTCCCTCAAGTCCAAGGAGACTTGCTGAGACTAGAGTCGAGACTACGAGAGCCAAGTTCTGTCCGAGGAAGAAGACTACGACCGTCAAGCTTTATCTCACTATTACGTTTATACCACATCGCCATGAAATATGTAACACCCTTTTTTTCTCTTTCTTTTTTTTCTCTTTCAGCTTGTCAATATCGCTCACAAGCTTTTGTTTGAGGGCTCTTTACAGAGCTGACCTGCGACGAACCTGAGACGAAGCCAACCTTGCCTCAAGGAATCCCAGTAGAAATCAAGAAACGAGGGGGAAAGCCTTATTCTTGATAAGAAGAACTGAAAGGCAGCGACAAGACTCCAGAGCGTAATCTAAAGTGAGAGATACAGGTGCAAATCAAGCCAAAGTGTTCAAGACAATCAGTTCCAAATCCAACCAATAACAATTAGGTTCCGAAATTAACAATATTGGTGTTGATATATAAGTTCTCTATCTATTTGTTCTAGCTTTATGCTAGCTTCCACACTGATAGGACTATAGCTAATGATCTGATCGTTTTTGTTATTCAAATTATATATTTAGTTTCGATTTCTTCTATTGAGGACTACACCGAATAAATAGCGTAAAAGGTGCTTGCTGATATTAAAGCTGTAGAAGGCACTCTATGGTGTACTACAAATGGTATGAGGGAAGATAGTTCTTCAATTAATCTATCTCAAGGCACGCTGTTGCCAATTGCCTTTCTATAGAGCCAGCAATTGGCACTAGTCCCAACTAGGCTGGCGTACCTGGCGACTCACTGCCCTTCCATTGAATGGCCCAGGCCAGTGAGTCAGGGTGGCCAGCCAGGCCTCATTCACTTGAGGCCCCTATGGCCACTGTCACAAAAGCGGTCCTAAAGGAGAGGCGAGAGAAGGGACGTGGTGTTTGAGTTTACCAAGGTTTACTAAGGAACATCCGGTAATTACTAGCTACCACGAAGCTCCTAAACGTTATTGCAATCGGGGTTTCACATTGCTACATAATAGACATCAATAACAGGATCAGCGTTATCTCCAACGACTGCTGACTGGGAATCCGGGCTATAATCAAGGAGTCGGCTACAAGGACAGACGAAGCAGGTACGTCGGCCCTGGCGCGGCGCCTTCGGCGAGTACATAACATGTACTATCCGCTCGGTAATATGCAGCAGCAGAGACGAGAATTACTGGGGCCGACGCCGCCTGTGGCCGATGTATGCTCTATTATCGATGAGGCAGCTGAATACGCCGTGCTGATAGCCGAGGAAGCCATGTGGAACTCGGCTGTGCATTATCCCCTTATGCAGCTGGCATTATATGGCGAACGACGGCAGAGGTCGACATGGCGGCAACCACAGTGTCCACGCGAAGGCGGCCTCCCCGCAGTCTCCATCAGGGTTGCACAGTGCACGACCGCACGCATTACCCGTGAGTACCTGCCTGCAGTCGAAACGTCGGGCAAGCAAGTCGACTTCTGCTTCTATATGCAGATAGATGCAGCTACACAGCAGCGCATCGATGCCATGCACGCTTCGCTGCCGCTGCGGTCTATCAATCACACAGGCCTCGAGGGCCTTCTCGGTCGCCCTATTGCCCTCAGCTGCGAATCTAAGAAGCTCGACTCAGATGGCGGCGCCACACAGGCCAAGCTCCAGATAGGTCTGTAGCATGCAGCACAGTAGAAGCTTCTCAAGCGCCTGGTAGCGTTAAGGTAGTCGCAATATAGTAACGCTCACGACCAACAACAATCGCAGCTGTCCCAGTCTTAGCAACTACCAGCTTACCTGCCTGCCGTCCTCATTTCTGGCCACAATTAGACTTTTACAGCTACAACGCAGCTCCAAGACAAGACAGTAAGAATCTGGGCTCTTGCCCAGTCTCTATTCCCAAGTGCAGATACAGGCATACATATCTAGTCCAGCTTGTTAATATCAAACTGCAATAGGTTTTATAGACAGAGTATCCATTCGGACATACTCGCAATATAGTCGGTATTTATAATATCATCTGCAGCCTGCAGAGGCTGCAATCATGGGCCAGTGATGAGTACTGGCTGTAGTACCAGATACGAGTTTTAGGCTTGTCCGAGTAAGTACCTTGGTGCCTATATAGATACTTGGAACGCGGGTCCGGTGAGACCCTGAAGACCTTCAACGGACCCGGTACGGATAACCTCCGGGGAATTGGCGTTAGGAGGCGGGCGGAGTACCTAGGTACCATGTGTGAGACGGCTTTGGAATAGCAGACGTATAGCTGCTCGGCGCATAATTTCCCGGGCTGACGACACTGAGCTTGAGAGAGAGAGTTAAGTAGTGGCGAGAAAAGCCGCTGCGTGAAGACATAGCATTACTGCCTCTCGCGACAGCTGAAGCGCGCCAAGAACTCAGGCGGCGGGTTCGGACAACGCGTAGGCCTTGATGTCGGGGGACAGGACGCTGTTGAGCACCCTGTAGCACTGAATCTCTTGCTCCACAGGAAACAGTGTATTGTTGTCTTCCTTCTGTGGTTCTTCTGGTAGCGGCTCCTCGGTCAATATGGCATCCTTTCTGTCACTCTTACTGCCCTCTGCTGTAGATATACCACCTGCCTGTCCCTCCACGGCAGCAGCCATCATCCCCCGCGCAGGCTTGTTGCTCCTCAACCGCAGGCCGTCCGCCCGCCATTAAGGGGAATCTCACAAACATTCCAGTTGACCTCGTGCGGCCTCTCCGGGTTAGGGAACACGAGTCACGCCCGCACAAGTCACGCCCGCACGAGGGCCTTCCACAGCTCCTCCTTGAGGGTTGATAGGCTGCCTGACGACTGGTCTTCGAAGCCGTTGTAGTTCGTGCCAACGTATGCAAGCTTGAATGCTATGAAGCGTGTTGTGTACTTGGAAGGATCCAGGAGCTTGGACTTTTTTGGCCTTCTTCTTGGCGGGCTAGTCTATATCGCCGCCCTCTTGAACGAGGAGAGCTGTGGCGGTTGCTGGTGCTGTGGGTTCTATGAGGCCGCTTACGGGTGGAGATCCGAGCTGGGGGTGGCCGCGATCCTTTCCGAGTACATACCTGCGGCAGTCGCGCAGGAGGCAATAGAACTGCCTTCGGCCGAATTCTGACCAGACGCTGTGTGGTCGAGAACGATTGAAGGCGGCAAAGGGAGGAGTCATGGTAGGCTTAGAAAGCACTCGCAGCGTCAAGGAGGCTCCGCTACAAGTCTATCAGAGGCTATGACTGCAGAAGCGTCAAGAATTGTGGGGTGAAGAACGAGGTGAAGATTGTAACACTGCAGGGCCAAGAGCAGATCAGGGACTTGAGGGAGATCTGCTGGGTCATTAGCAGCTAACAAACCGAAATACCCATACACACAGCCGAGGCGGCGGGTGATACGGGTTGACGGTGATAGCGTCCCAAGTTGAGAAAGAAGTAGTGGGTCAGGATGCTAAATTCCTGCTATTTGAGATCCCTTCTGCTGATCTGTTGGTAGGACACGCTGCTGTCCAAGACGCGATATCGACTTAAAATGCTCAAGAGTATTAGCAACATTATCAGCATAATGGTGAGACATAACAGTGATAATATAGACTGACCTGGTAGCATATATAGCCTGTTCGTAACCTCAGTTCGTTGGCCTCGTGGCTTTTCTCTTCATTTCTCTTTTCTTCAGCGCCAGCATACGAGTCCTTTTGCCCTTGCATAGAATCACTATCAAGGCCTTATATCACTATCGATCGCTATCTACTATCCTCTCCTCCATTCTCTTCTTCTCTCTTATTCTCTTTCTCTTTTATATGCTTCCCGAAGAGACTGGCCTTATATGAAGCTGCTGCATTCGACAGTTAGAGGTATGGAGACCGCTTCCTTTCCCAACGCTTTCTTACATCATCAGCACCAGGTAGCTCTCGTTGCTAACTATAGACCCCAGTTCATGGCCAAGCTGGCCCGCTACTGCTTGGCCGTCCTGGTCTGCTCCTAGAAACGGACGCTGCCTAACAAACCCAAGCTCAAGGACGACCTGACCTACCTGTGAGACTGCAACCGCCACCCCCCTTTCCTGAACGCCTACCTTAACCTGACCTTCTCCTCCTGCAGCGTCCGCATAGACGGGACCTGTAAGCGTCGTTGAGACAAGATCAGCCGCCAATCTGCTGGCTACTGAACCGACGCAGGGCTGTCGTCACATCAACCCGTTCGACGACCCTTACCGCTTCCAGTCTTCAACCACACTCAAGATCACAACATACCTCCTCCTCCTCCTCCTCCTCCTCGCAGCTGTCTACCTCCTTCTCGCAGCTCCTAAAATCCCACGGACTTTACACAGGGCTCGTCGCGAGAGCCAGGAGCAAGGGCTGCAAAAAAAGAGGCGCTCAGAGGAGTCAGAAATGGGGTTTCAGCATGTTTGAGCGGGACACCTCCTGCGAAGTCAGAGCGTAACAAGGTCAGCTATTCATTATCATTCAACTCTATGCTAGCTGGACTACTTGGCCAGATTTTGTTACTATCACCATATCTCAACAAGCATAAATACTGTGCCTCTCTGAGCCAGAGACCTTCCTAACGACGAGCACGACGACGGCTGGACACTGGTAACAAATGGCGCCCGCGACCGGAGTAAGCTTGCTTACGGAGGCTCCACGGTTTTTGATAAGTATTAAGACAAGCTTCAGCCTTCTTGCTGGAGGCAAGGCGATGCCCAGAAAACAACAGGCCCTCCTTCACATACTTCGCGACCAGGTTCAAGGGGTCAGTTGTCGCAGGTCCACAGAGCGCTGGGTGCGATGTTCTATGCATGGTATATTCTGAGATCTTGGTACATGACGATCTTTGTTCCTCTTGATCCAGAGCTCGTCTACCACCATCCACTGTCTCCTGCACCCACAGACCCCTGCCATCCTCAACCTTTTCTTTCAACCACCACATTTCAATCATCAGGACCTCACTTTCTGGTCGCATTTTCAGCTGTTTTTCAACGCTAATCATCAAATTTGAACCGTCTATCGCGATTTTCAAGCCCAAGATGACCGATTCCAAGGTTCCCGATGTTGTGGTGCAGGCCCACGATAGCCCTATTGCAAGCGAGATCGTGGTGCAGGCATCTCAGCCTGGCAAGCCACCTTCAGCCTTCCCTTCACCAAGTTATCAAATTGACAAGCTCGAAAAACGCAGAAGCTGATACTTCAGACAACTCTGATGCTTCAAATGATCCCCAGGGCGGTCCGTCGCCTGAAATTGGCTCTCCCATACCTTCTGGTACGTCCTCAATTGACGCATCTTTGGTGAGGATTCTCGTGCTGACACCGGTAGAAACAGGCAACTTGGACAGCACTGAAAATGAGAGTCAGGAAGTCAAGTATGGAAAGGATAGTTGGCCCATCCTGCCTCCGAAGTCCCCCTATAAGGCGTCCAGTGCGCAGGCTAAGCGCTACAACAGTGAGATTTCATACTTGCGCTTGAAAGCTTTGTTCTTTGCTCATATGCTCAAAAAGAACAGTTGCATACAGAAAAGCGGTTGAACTAGCGATGATACACGCCAAGCAAAAGGGCATCGACCTTCCTTCGAAGTTTACGCGTACTTTCAACGACCCTGTGCCCCCTAATGTGTCCGCGTCTCTTCGCCAATATTATGTGCCCAAACTCCCGGCTTTGGCTCGCGGGCTGAAATCTCTGGGCTCAGATGTTTGGGAATTCATCCCTGAGGAGGAGCTACAACAGGCAGGAGATGATACTTTGGCTGCGGACGAAATTCCCCACAAGACGCTCTCAAAGAAGCGCAAGAGAAAGGATGTTCCGAGTGTTCCTGAGTCCTCTCTGCAGTCACCCCCGGTACCGACCCCGACCACCATTAAAAAGGGCAACGAGTATATGCCTTTGGCGAGCCGCAAGAGCCATCTTTATGCAGGAGAGCGATTTGTTCCTTGTATTCAATGCGTCAAAAATGCGGCTGGAGGAAAGAGTCTTGGGGTCTGCATAGGAACTAAAAAGCAGGGTACTAAGCGCTGCGAGTCTTGCATCGAAGGAAATCACAAGTGCGAGGCTGTCCTGCAGGTCATTTTGCCTTTTGCAGACTTGCTTCTGGGGACGTGTCTGGTGCTTGGTTTGAAGCATATTGACAAGGTCCTCATCAGCAATGGCACTATGGATCGGGCGCGCACAGCTTAGAAGGTTGCGCTCGCTTTATACGAAGGTGATATGTTTCCCGAGAATGGGGAGGAGATTGAAACGCCCACCGCGTCTCCCAAAGTCAGTTTCGAAGCGTATTTTCAGTCGACCTGTCATACAGTCCAACCCCAAGGCTGAGCCGATTACTCCGGTCCGGTCCCACAGAACCTGGCATTCAGAGCGCGTGGCTAAGAAATTAGTATAAGGGATTTATTGTATTGCAAATGTGGCAGCAGCCATAGGGCCTGAATGAAATGTGAGGCCCTAGGCCAGCAGTCACAGGAGATAGTGACTAACCCCTTAGCCATTCACTGGGCTAGGGCAAGTTGTGAGTCACTGGTGTTTCTGTCCCAATTGGGACTAGCGCCTACTGTCCCTTTCTATATAGACGGGCAGTTGGCAAGGCGCCTTTTTAAGATAGAAAGGAATGAATTATCTTCCCTCCTACCATTTGTGAACCACCATAGTGTGCCTTCCACAGCAAATGAAATTTGGGCTCAATTGCTCATTAGTTTAGGCATTTTCGTACTGTAGAAATGATAAAGGAAATTAACCCTCAATCTTGTGTTTTACATCTTGAAGGTTTAAGAAAGCCCTGAAGTGTTCGAACTGCGCCCGTGACAGATTTTTGGTGAGCCTATCTACAGGCATTTGGGCATTGCGAAGGTAAGTGACCTTGAAAGTCCTCTTTTTGAACTCCTGTTTCAGCTACATTTGGTGTACATCAATATGGCGAGGTTTTGTATTCTTTCATGCTCAGAAACTACCAATCTGATCGCTTGTTGATTATTACAGTAAATATTCTAAACGTTTCCCAGGTCAAGGCTGATATTATGGAGCAGCTTTTTCAGGGCGATCGTCTCTTTGGCTGTGAGCTGAAGACAAGCAGTTCAGCTTCTGTTGATACAGTTGGCACAATTGCTTGCTTTGAGGCTTTCCAGCGGACCGGTCCTCTGTAAAGTGATATGAGATATCCTTGAGAGGACTTCCTGTCGCTCGGATTATCTGCAAAAGAAGCGTCCCCAGCAATAAGCAAAGCCTGAGCATCCTTGTTTTGTGCCCCCAACTGAATGCACATAAATCTTGTTGCGCAAAAGTACTGGATAACCCGGTTTGCTGCTTGAAGATGTGCTGGCCCAGGGTTTGTAAGCAATCTGGAAAGCAGGGCGCAAGCAAACGCTATATCTGACCCAATTATGATAGCAGTATAAAGGATAGACCCAGTCTTTTCTTGGTACAGCTTGATTTCTACCTTTGATGCTTGTCCCTCCAACTTCTCGAGGTTCTTAAGGCTCAAAGAGATATATAGCAAAATAGCTGGGTTGTCTGCAAGGCCGAACCTGCTGTCATTCCGTCAACGTACGCATCGTGAACCCAGCAAATGGTGCGCTTAGACCGATCTACGATGACGCTGACGCCCAAAAACCACTGTACTGGTCCTTGTTCCTCGATTTCGTAGTGGGCCAACAGTCCTTCTTTGAGTGCATGGGCTTTGGAGTGCGCCTCTTTTGGGTAAATCAGGAGAGTATTATCAATATAGGAAAGAAGCATGATTCTCTTGCTTACGCTCGTGAAGAGGCACGGCTTCTCACAAGACTCTTGCAATCCCCAATTTTTGGATTATGGCACACAAATCTTTGAACCATAAGAAGGGCGAGTCTTTCAACCTATAAAGTGCTCTCGAGTAACTAACATTTCCCTTCTTCCTCAAATCCTGGTGGCAATCCGCAGTAAACAGGCTCTTCACTTCTCTAAGCTCGTTCAGAAAGGCACCCGTCACATCTATCTGTTTGATTTCAAGGTCCTGATGTGCTGCAATAGTCATGAGGATTCGAAAAGAAGATGAAGCCAAAGTCGCTGCGTAGGATTTCTTCAGAGTGCTTGCCTGTTGAAGGTCTCTCGTATACTGATTTGCTCCTTGAAAGAGGTCAAATGACTGTTCTTGTCCAGCTTATATATGGGAATGAGTGTATTGACTGCGCTGAAGAGGAAAGGAAAGGAAGGAAAAGAAAAGAAACACAGCTGACTAACTGAGGCTATAGACAGAGGGTGCCTGGCGATAGTGCGGCCAGTGATTCACTGGCCTCGTACATTCAGGGCATACAGCTAGATGAAATGGCAGGAGCTTTGCTCGACCAGTGCGGTCCTGGTCAATAAAGATACTCCCTATAATAACCTATCGCTTTCGAAGCCTCTGGGTATAGTCTGGAGTGATATTGGCGCTGATAGCGATATATTTATTAGAAAAGCCACCCTCGAGGAGGCCGGTGATGATAGAACAGTCTCCATCGCTAAGCCGTAGGCCAGGCATTGGTCCTAACAGGGCCTAACCACCATCTCGATTCGCAGTACTCAATTTCAGTGCATTGAATAGCTTCAATGCCGGACGACGAGGGTAGGGGGTAGCCAGGCAAGGAAGTTCTTCAAAAGTCGAAGCAAAAAAAGGGCGTTTTCACGAGCCCGTAAATCACACGCGTTTTGGGTGGAGAAGTTGGGAAGTGCAAAAATACAGTAGGTCCGTCCACCTGAATAGAACAAGGCTGTATATCATAACCTGCTGTAGTTCTGCACAGGCCACCATGTCTGGGTTGTGTCATAACCGGCGCCAAGACAGCACACCATTCTACGATATCCTTTTTATAGACGCGCTTGGATTATAAGTACTCTCGCACAACTTATCTATTCCTATATAAAATACTATGAGCCCAGCACCATTCTCCGATAATCTTCAGAAATACTCAGCACCTTCTGATACACTTCCCCATTTCCCCCCCAGCCGTCCCAAAGTATCTCTTGGAAATCTACCCAAATGACAGAAGTCTCATGCTTAGCGTACCACCAGAGATGTTCACTGAAGCTCCGCCTCAAAACTTCTATATAGAAGTTCTCCATATGTGGCTTAAGGATATTCCAAGATAAAGCTGGTTGGCTTATGAAAAGATGAACAGCTGCTTGCCTGACATCTAAGTCTTCATCTCTGAGCCGTTGAGCCACAGCTTTCAGCATATCATCTGAAAGCAAAGACTGGCGTCCGAGCATATTAATAACTGCCTGCCTGACATCTGAGTCTTTATCTCTGAGTTGTTGAGCTGAAGCATACAGCATATCATCTGAGAGCGAAGACTGGCGTCCGAGTATATCGATAGCTGCTTGCTTGATACCCGAGTCTTCATCTCCGAGCCGTTGAGCCACAGCTCTCAGCAAATCATCTGAGAGCGAAATATCGTGTAACAGATAGGATGTTCCTATATTCCTGAGTTCAAATAAACACCACTGTAAGATTTGACTTTCTAAGTCCTTTCGATGCTGAGCGAAAGCTGACTTGTCGTCAGCAGAGACTTCATTCAAGCAATACATGACGAGTCGTTGGTGCATAGGGCCCAAGAGGTCGCGCAGCTCCTCGTTGATCGCGTGAAAGAACTCGTCGGCCTTTTCCTTAGCGTCAAGCAGGCCGGAAACGAAGCGCCATAAGATATCGTAGCGTGCTGTGTATTTGTACTTCCTAAGGAACTCGCGAGTAGTAATCTTTTCGCGGCTGAGTTTCAGTGGTTTGCCACCTGTCCATTGCTGTACAAAATACCGTGCTGCAAAATACTCTTGATAAGTCAGATGTAGAAAGTGAAAGTTTTGGTTCCTGAATTCTGACGATGGGTCTGATGTTCGTAGGAACGAGAGGGATGGCAAAATCTGATCGGGTAGGAACTCCTTCAGGCCCAAGTTGCGAATTATTCTGTTGATATGCGCTGAATCAAACTGAATCACGTCGTCATGTAGTTCAGTAAAGGCAAGGGCTTCCAGGAACAGAATCTCGTCTTCGATATATGGCTTAATGATGGACCGATCAAGTGATTGGATCTGGCTTCCTGCAATCGACTGCCCTTTGCTTTTCCTTCCCAGTTGTACAATATCCTCCTTCCATAATTTTAGCTCGATAGCTTGGTAGATGGCGGTCATGGTATCAAGATTCGTCTCCGACTCGAAGTCTTCGATCCAAGTGAAGCAGAGTGCATCCAGCTGAATGGGGATCCGAACGAGATCTTGAACAAGCTGATGGTTTTGAAGGAAGGACTTAACTTTGGTCCTTTGTGGATCGGCAAGGGTCTTTTCAAGATATTGGCCAACTTGATCTGGTAAGAACCCAATTGTTTCCAATTCGAGGTCTGGGTCTTTGAGGCCAGCCAGAGCTATGGCGTGCGGCCGGGTTGTAATAATAACGTTGGGGCTGTTCAAAAGTTGTATAAGAAAACTGGACGCCGCAGAGAATGGATTCAAAAGCTCGGATATTTCATCCAGGCTATCGAGGAGGAACAGAGTACCACGCCTGTTGGTAGCTTCGTTGTGGACGGCATTCCATAATCCTTTAGCGAGACGGCGGCCATCACGGTGCCCCTCGAAGAAAATATAGAACAAAAGTCTCTCCAGGTTGTATTCCGGGTAGGAGCGTTCTTTGAGCTTCCGTAAAGGCACTCAGAGTACACGGTTGAACAAAGCCTTCCATCTATCAGTGCTGAGGAAGTCGTGCACAATCTTCTTGCACAAAGTAGTCTTCCCAACTCCAGCGCGTCCTCGGATCAAGATTCTTCTTGGTGGTTTTGTGTGGCCGTCGGGCCCTTGGCGTGATGCAAAAAGTGTCGGCAACTCGATCAGGGACTTCTTGTCCGGCATCTCAATCTTCAGCCGCGCGTGGAGTGAAAACGGGGAAGAATGGGGTGCTGCATCTCCTTCAGAACCTTTGGTCGATCTTTCCTTCGAGTTTTCTGCGTTTTCATCGGGCTGCTTCACAATGGCGAGATTGATGTAGCACTGCTCCATCGACAAAGGCTTGCCTGAGAGTCGCTCAATCCGGAGCTTGTCCTCGGTATAGTGATGCTTTCGTATCCATGTGTCTGCGTTGTCGTCGCGAATACGCTGGAGAACGCTTTCGATCTGTCTAGCAACAGATACATAATCGTAGTCATCACAGCCGCCACGGAACTTGTTCATGAGACCATGTTTTCGATGGAGTGCTAAGGGGTTCTCAACAAAGTCCAGAGTCCCAGAGGTAGCATCCACCAGCTGACACGTATTAGTAATCTTCTGCTCATTATAAAGATAGTATACAGGGAATAAAGCGAGATGGAAAGTTTTCTGCAGTTCTTACCGGGTACCTAACCAGTCTGGCGCCCAAGGAAATATCCTATGCAGATTCGTCTTTCCAAGGTTTCAAAAGTTGTATACATGATACGGATGAGCAGGGTCTAGATACAGCTAAGTGAATTTGCGGACGAGTTCCCTAAGGTTCCGAGTCTCCTCTTTCACATTGCTGAGCAGCTTGGTCACTTTCCGGCCTCGTATCAAAGCCCAAGCATTCAGACCTGGCTCTGCCCATATGGCTACACCTTGGAAAGAAGTGCCTCGGAAAGGCATTGCGAGGAAGATAATACCCTGGGTAGCTTCCTTGATGGAATAGTACTCGTGGGTTGCTATCATGAGAGAGCCTTCATCAAGATGATGCCCCCGAGGCATGATGCGATGAAGAGACTCAGATAGAAAGTAATGAGGAAATCTTCCAGCTATTACAGAACTCATCTCTGCATTGCAACCCGCTCGCCCCTATTGATGCAACCAGAGAGGATGAAACTTTCTGAAAGGAAAGCCGAACGATTTACGGAGCTTGATTCGGAGTAGTGATTACACGCTAAGATTCGCCTCATTGTCATGAAGCTTTTACGGGAGGCTGTTAGAATACGAAGACGGGAATACTTCCAGGAAGCTAATAACCGCAGAGCTCTCGAATAAGCTATGAACAACCTGATTCTAACTATAGATAAGCTTATAAGCTTCCAGTCTTCTATTGCAAGAGGAATCAGTATTATAACTCATTTAATATGCAGGTTACGAAATAGGTTATAAGCAACAAGGACTAGGTGTTAAGAACCCTACGTTCTAACAAAGCACCGATTACATAACCCAGGGTTAGGGTTATGATGAAGGGAGAATCTATGGATCTGCTCCCAAATCCTCAGAGCCTTATACTAATAAATCTATAGATCTGCTCTCAGATTCTCAGAGCTACGATGAAGAGCTAAATATATAAGAATACATTCATTACCACTAGATAGACCACTAGACATAGCTCTTCAATCATCAATCTAAGTATCAGATTACATACGTACTCTGATAGCCCCAAAAGCAGTAAACACTTGCATTCTCATCAGAACTTGTATATTTCCGTATTCAAGAACCTACACTTCAACATCGCTCTTATTAGCATAAACCCAATCAGTACTTAGGAATCTTCGGATAACTGCAGTGCTCATTATAATTAGCTCGCTTTTCCAAGCAGCTCTTAAAGCGAATGCAGCTTTCCTCGGGAGCGCAATAAGACAGCCAAGATTAGCAATATACAAGTACCTGAGATAGTATCAAAGTATTTCCTCTGCTTTAGAGACTTTGAGTCTTGAGCAGAAATATGGAAGCATACTTCCACAGCTCACCGCAATGCATCAACATAGCCCCTTTCCTGCCCCGAGTATACCCGCTCAGGGATCGAAGAGTCTCTGAACCTCTATCGAGCTCATACAGCACATGCAGTCGTCTCACGATGCCAAGAACTTGCTGTTCATTCAAGTCCATCGATGCCTGCTCTGCGAAGATCAGATCTTCCCGACGAAATCTGGACTCTCGTTTCATACTACGGAGAACCATATAAAGGGAGATCAGATCTTCGATAAGCTGTTTTCTTGTTCTAAATGCTGCTGTCTTGCAATTAACAACTATGTTATACAGGATCTGAAGCGGGTATGATACTACAGGTGTACCAAAGCCTGCCTCGCTACATACGTATTTGGACCTCTGCAAAGAGAAAATTACTGATCTATAGTAGCAAAACCAAGATAGCGAAAGCCCTAAGATATAGCTTGATGAATCATTAAAATTCTAAGTTTACATTCCGTTGCATTCAAGTGGATGGACCCACTGTATTTTTGCACCTCTCGATTTCTTCACCAAAAACGCGTGTGAATTATGAGCGCGTGAAAACGCTCATTTTTTGCTTCAACTTTTGAAGAACTTCCTTGCTTGGCCACCCCCCAACGCCTAAAGCTATTCTCAAATTCGCGAATTTCGACTATACGCATGCTGGATTATATAGAGCTATCACCAAACTCATCATTTCCAGCGTCTAACAGTGCTGCTAGCGCTCAAGCGTTGCTAGCTCTCAGCACTAATAAGTCCTATGCTTCTTAGAACAACAGCTATAGCTATATAGCAGTTGACAACGAGGTATACGAGCAGGAAATAGGCAATTTGATATCTGATATGCGTTTCCTCTAGAAGACTATCTGCCCGAGCTACAGCCTATCCTCCGTAGAGTATCCCAAGAGGATGAGGCATTCTCTCGCTGGCTTCGTTCGAACCCTAAGGCATGCATGCGATTCGAGCTAGCACCATCTAAGCCTGCTAAAATGCTTGCTAAATGTAAGGCTAAAGTCTCTTTGAAGGCTTCTGCTGCGAAACATACAACAGCACAGAAGTTTTCTCGTTAACCTGAGCCTGGGGTGTCAGCAAGGGCTCAGGCCAGGCTGGATGCCAAAGCAGCTGCTGAGGAGGCAGCAGTCCAGCGAAGAGCTGCTGAACGAGCAGCAATTGCTGAAGAGAAAAGAGCCGAACAAGCAGCAATTTCTCAAGAGAGAAGAGCTTGAGACAAGGAACTGGCAGCGGCTCGAGAGGCTAGAAAAGCCGCTTCCAGGCATGCTGCTGAGAAGAGGGCTGCTGAGAGGGCTGCTGCTAAAGCTGCTGCTGCGACAAAGGCACGAGCATCTGCCAGCCCTGTCATAATAGACAGCGATGATAAGGGCGATGATGCTAGAGAGGCTGAGAACCCTGAAATCGTCGAGATTACTACTCCAGCAGAGGTCCATATCAACTGGCATTACCCTGTTCATCGATGCGCACAGTTTCGAAGGATCTCGCCTTCAGAAATGCTTACGAAGAGGTTTGCTAACATGCTTTGTTTCCTCGATCTCGTTATCAAGGATGCCCTAACTGCTTAGCTGAACGAACAAACTATACATATTGCTCGAGTTGTAAAAGAACAAACTGTTCGTACTAAATACAGCTTTGCTAGAATTACCATGAGGAGAAGCAATAGTACTGTTCGAGGCAACCAGATCCATTGCAACGAGATGATGAGCAACGATTTCCAGAGTGCTGCGCAACAAATCAGCGATATTCTGCTCAACAGAAAGAACCTTTATTGCCTCATCATTATATATACCTTCAATCTCGAGATTAGCAGCAGCAGATATATCCCTCATGCTCTATTGCGAGAACTTCCTTCAAGTATAGCTAGCCAGCTATAAGCAGATACTCAAGTTGCTATCGAAGCGGGGGCTAGCGAGTTTGATGATCTCTTTACGCCTGCCAGCACAACAATACGAGCGCTCCAGATGCCAGGAACTGCTCGCCCGCACTCGAAAGCCTTGAGTATGCATAAGCAGATCAATGCTGAGATTGCTAGCTAGAGAGATCTCTACAAACAGCTTAATATCCATTAGCAGTGCTATGATTCTATGTGCTATACTAATAATAGAAATAGTACAAAGTTTGCTATATATTGCTGAATTGAGCTTGATAATTATTATTTCAAGCTTAATCAGCAAGATCTGATGCAATAAGCAGAGAAGATTGCAAATAAAGCTGAAAAAGCTAATATTAATTATATCTTATATAGCATTGAACCAGAACTAGGGCGCTGTCGCCCTCGAGAAAAGAAATGAACAGCTGCCGAAGCAATGAGCAAGGGCTCGTGCAATCCAAGCATGCCTGTACAGATGAGAACAGCAAACTAAGGCCACACGGGCACAAGAACAGGGTGAAAAACCTGTCTTAGACCTGTCCAAAGGGTTCAAAATTGAAAAGAAGAGAAAAGAATACTTCATTATTGCTTATAGCTAAAGAATTTGAAAAGTGAGTAGTATTCTTTATATGTATGAGGAGCCTTGACCCACTGTACTCCATGTCCTACAGACTACCACCCTGGCCACCACAACAGCATATATTGCTAAATCCTCAGTTGTGCTATCTTCTATATACAGGCAATCTTGAGCACTGGAGATAGCTTTGCAACCAGCTTAATAGCTAAAGCAATACTAGCATCAGATATATGAAAAGATCTCCTTAGCAGAAAAGGGAAAGCATATGCTGGAAAAAGCAACAGCTCTATTAGCAGTAATATTATTAATATTAATAGAGAAGGAGATTCTGCAATGCTAGCACAGTTGCTTCAGAGCTAGCTGAGCAAACCTGAGTTAATAATGCTCTCATTTCTGCTACCATCAGCTTCTCTGATAATGCCTCTCTCTGTATATACATCTTATTAGATGCTTGAAGCTAGGCTTCTCTTGAGATACATATTTTTTCAAGTGCTAATTACGCTATTAGAGTGGCTAATTGTGACATTCTTTTCGAGCTCTATTGTGCTAGAAGAGCTTGATATAGATAGTGTGCGAGGGCCAGTGAGTCACTGGCCCTAGGCCGTGCACAGCCCAGCCAGCCAGCCAACAGCCAGACCTGTTGATAGCCTCAGTTAGTTGCCCTCGTGGTTTTTCTCTTCTTTTTCTCTTCTCTTTAGCGCACTGCAATACGAGCTTTTTTGCCCTCGCATAGGTTATGCAGCCCTCTTGCCCTTTCTTTCGAGCATTCACGATATTTGAATCGTTTCTCGACCCCTGATTACGGCAAATTCCTCGAGTTCAGCTTCGAATCGCGCTCAACGCAGCTGAATTCACTCAAAATAACAAGAAGAGCGCCTACCAGCATCTTCAACCCTCCCAAACTCTTCAGGACCCCAAGCTGTCCTGGAAACACCTTTATTAACAACTGATGGCCTTAGCTGATGAGGATATCATAGACCAGTCCGTTTACGAGGATATTCAAGAGAACGATGAGGAGACTCCGATAGCCTCTCGTTCAGGAGATAACAACAAGGAGGCTTTTGCAGTCCCTCTATCAGAATCATCAAGACTATCAGAGGCGATGGTATTCAAGATGGATAGCATCAGGGTGATGTTCATCCAGCACAGCGTATCAGCGCTTCTGGGCGAGGAAAATCTCGAGGATTGGAGTATTATGGTTGAGTCGATCCTTCTTTTATACGAATATCTTCACTATATTCTCGAATCAGTTCCTAAGCCTGACAAGATAGCTGATCCTGAGAGCTTTTCAATCTGGATCCGATAGCGAGCTCAGGTTGTTACAATGCTTCAGAATACGTTGCAAAAGGTGCAAAGCACTCTTACCAATGCAGGCTTGAATCCAAGAAAGCGAGATCCGTATATTATATACCAAGCGGTAATGCATACTCTTCCTAAGCACTCTGAGAACTACATTAATTAGATAGCAGTTCGTTTTGCAATCTGTTAGATTGCTAACTACGCTTTCTTGTTAGCTTTTTGCAATAATCTTCAGTATATGCATTGTTGTTTAAGGGAACTTTACTATGAGTTTTCTAACAACTTCATAATAGCTCTGATTCTTAAGAAGATTGAGAATGTACTTTCAACGTTGCATGCTTTTGCTATTAGAGATTATAAGATTAGCAAATTAACCTAGAATATGTTGATAGCTGAGATTAACTCAATTATTATAACAGGTATAGATGCAAAAGCTTTTGCAGCTCTGAAGAAGATGTTATTAAATCAGATATTATTAAGTAGCAGCTAAGGAGATGAAAAGCAGTAGCCAGAGAAGGACTTCCTTCCTAGCAAAGATATGATCAGCGCCTTGAAAGTTTCTAAGTTATGCTTTGAACAACTTCTATATTATTGCTAGTACAAAAAGTTCCTTTTAGCATTCTGAAAGCATTGCTTATTCTGCAATAAGTATCACAGCTCAGAACTACAAGCTTGCAAAAACTACTAGGAAAACAGCAATAATAATACAAATCAGTTGTTGTTTATAACAACAAATGCAGAATCAACAGTATTTAGCTCCTCGTTAGCAGCTTCCAGCAGAGCAGCATTAGTTGCTATCTTAGCGCTTATTGAGAACAGTAAGCTGTTAAAGGATAGCATTATAGCTGATACAGGCGCCTTAGAGATGATTTTCAATAATGCTAAGTAGTTTATAGATCTCTTCAAGCTTGAGAAACCAGAAGCTATGGAATTCGCAGCAGGCTTCTTCAATATCGAGATAGCTGGAATGATATAGCTTAAGATTGTGCATTATAATAGCTCTGTTGCTATTATTAAGCTCAAGAATACTAGATTCTCATCTAGAACTTCTTGCAATCTTATCAGCATGAGAAAGCTGATACTCCTTGGATTGGGATTTGATAGCAAGATGAGCTAGATCATAACTACAACTGATAGATGTGAGGTTTGTTAGATCGACTGGAAGGAAGGTATACTAGTTCTGAGAGCACAGAACCTTCCTCAGCCTTCAGAGAGTGGCTTTCTGGCAAAACCAGCAATACTTATATCTGTAATCTACTAAAGACTTCATAACCGCTTTATGCATGCAGGCTTAGAAGCAATTTGAGAAGCAGCTAGTTAGGCTAGCATCACAGTTGTTAAGGAAAAGGATTTCTGTTGTAAGCTGTATCTCGAGAACTATCTGATAGAGTCCTATGGATGCTCTCAGGATGTCAAATACAATGCTTCTAGCCAGTTGATTAGATTTGATCTAATCGAATTTCAGGAGGGATACAATGGCTATTGTTACTGCCTTTACTTCATCAATATGGATACAAACTATCATTGAGTCTATTTTGCTAATAAGAAGAACGAAGCCTTTGATCTCATTAAGAAATTTGTTGTATTTTTTGAGTAATAGTCTAGCAGAAAGATTCAGGCTTTGGATTGCAACAATGAGCTAGAGTTTGGACTAGCGATATCTATCTTCAAGAACTCAAAGCTTCAGCAATAAGCTAATAAGAGAAGCATTGTTATCTTACATACAATTCCTCATTTATCTTGGATGAACAGCAAGGCTGAGAAGGCTCATCACAATGTTGTTAAGAAAGCATGCATAGCACACAATACAGCAAACCTTTCATCAGGCTTGTAGCCCTTTATGATAGAAGCTGCTTGTTGAATCATAAATCTACTGCCTTGCATAGCAAACAAGCACAACGAGCTGCCTATCCGGAAGCTGGGATACCGTCTGAGCCTCTACAAGAAAGCAATCCCTGATACAGAATTCCTCAGAGTCGTTGGCAGCAATGTATGGATTCATATAAAGAAAGCATATCGCTAATCAAGCAATAAATACGCTAAAATAAGCTTGAAAACAAAGCTTCTTACATGGAACAATCCATCAGGCAAGATCGTCTAAATATATAATCCTAAAGCTGATAAGATGTACCGTACAGTAGCTATAGAGATTCGAGAGTGCGAAAACCCTTCTTTGAACAACTTAGAGATAGCTGAGATTGAGCACGTTACTGAGTTCAGCAAATCCTCAGTTGAAAACGAGTTCATTACAATCAGGACCCTTCTCGTAGACCAGCGAGAGGATGCTACGAACGAGAGGCTTCCCGAGGTACGCCTGAGCATGCCGATCTATAACCAGGAGAACTCGCCTTCTCAACAGGAAGCTACCGAAACCGACTCTTCTAACCCTCAGACCGAGCCTCCAACCTTGCCCACTCCCAGCTACACTCCCGAACCAGAAATATATGGAAAAATACAGGATGGACTGGGAAAAAACAAGCTAAGAGAGGAACTAAAAAGGAAATCTCGGGGGTGGATGCGTTGCCTCCCGGAGGCCAGACGGTAACAGACAGTGAGGCTCAAGCTTCTGCCTCACACTCTTCCTGTTCAATTGAGGCTGTTTACAACGATATGCCTCAGGGGATGATGGATGAGGAGGTTCTGGCGGAGAAAGAAGCTATCCCGAGATCACGCCGTCCTCATTCTCACACGCCCCAGCTTTCCACAAGAGAGCAACCACGAAAACAGGCCAAGGATAAGCAGCATGCTAGCTTGCCTGATTCATCAAAGAAGATGGATGCCTTAGCTATCAACGCTATTGCTTCTTACAATATATACGAACCAATTCTCAAGTTCATATGCTTATCAGCACTAAAAGTATAGTATCTTATTAATTCAAAAACATTATTAGCATCAAAGAACTATAAATAAGCTATAAAATTGCCTAACTTTGAGGATGCATAGAAGCCTGTTTGCAACAAGAGTATTACTAAGCTTGAGAACAACTATATCTACATCTGGTCTAAACCAGACCCTAGCGCGAATATCCTTCCTGCTAAGTAGGTATTTAATCTCAAGAATAATTCTAAGAATCCCTTGAAAGACAAGAAGATCTCTCATGCACGCTCAGTTATTTGTAGCAACTATGAAGTTGAGAACTGGTTAATAGAGGATATATACTCAGCTATTGCTTTATTAACTAGCATCAAGCTCTTCATAGCCTTCGTTGCAATCAAAGAACTAGCCTGAAAGAAGTTTGATTTCATTATAGCCTTCCTCAACTCACCTATTCCTAAGAGCAATCATATCTTTATCTAACCGCCCCCAGAATACAAACATTGTAATAGCAAGGTCTGATTGATGAAGAAGGGAATGTACAGCATGCATTGATCTCCTCTGTAATAGTTTGAAACTATCATACTCTTCCTCAAGAGCCTTAGCTTCTAGCTATTCAATAACGAGCTTTGCCTCTTTTGCAATGAACAGACTGGAATGCTTTTAATCCTCTATATTAACAATATGCTTATTGCTAGCTCAACTAATGCTAATATAAATGCTATTGCTGCTTACATTAGCAAGAAATTCAATCTCAAGCATCTGGGAAAACCTGAGAAGTTCCTAAGCTTCAATATCAAGAGGGATAAGAAGAACTCGATAATCTTTCTCTTGCAAGAGGAATACGCCAGAAAGATTATCGCCTTTTACAGCTTTGAATTATATAAGGCTACAAAGACCCTATAGCCTGTAGACTTTGAACTGCCTAAGGCTTAGGAGCTTCTTCATGATCAAACAAAGCTTTATCAAAAGCATACAGAAGCTCTAAATTAGCTATTCACTGGAACGAGGCCTGATATCTCGTTCACAGTAGGAAAGATAGCCAAGGGAAATATGAGCCCCTCAGCAGCTCATATACACCTTCAAAAGCACCTGTTTCGCTATCTCGAGAAACATCTCGAACTTAGCATCATCTTCAACAGCCATATGCTCTTGGACAACATTCTCAATGCCTATGCAGATGCTTCCTGAGCTAACAATCTCGCTACCAGGCAATCTACTGCTAGCTACATTGTCTTCATGACTGGAGCGCCTGTTATTTGGAAATCAAAGATGCAAACCTTGGTAATCTTGTTAACCACAGAAGCTGAATTCGTTAACCTCATCCCAGCTAGTCAGGCCCTCATTTGGATCTGATCATTCATTAAGGAGTTTAGCCTCAACGCTGAGAAGCCTCTTCTCCTCTTCACGGATAGCCTGAATGCTAGGCATAACGTTCTGAACAAAAACAATGCTGCCCGCACTCGCTACATTGATATCCGTTTCAAATGGATCGTCGAGAGGACTAGTCAAGGCGATTTCAACATACAGCACATCAGCACGGAGGATATAGCAGCCGATGGCCTAACCAAGGCACTTGAGCCTACCAAACACGCCAAGTTCGTGAAGGCCCTTAGCCTCGTGAGTTGCTCGATCTACGAGTAGCGACAGATAGGTTGGAAAAGGGATTTACGATGAGGAATATGGAGGAAAACACCAAGGGAAAGATGAGGATATATGGACTATATGGTGATGTTGGCCTTGCCAGTTGGCTGAGGGGGGGTGTGCGAGGGCCAGTGAGTCACTGGCCCTAGGCCGTGCACGGCCCAGCCAGCCAGCCAACAGCCAGATCTGTTGATAGCCTCAGTTAGTTGCCCTCGTGGTTTTTCTCTTCTTTTTCTCTTCTCTTTAGCGCACTGCAATACGAGCTTTTTTGCCCTCGCATAGATAGCTTTATGGATAAGTTCTTCAGGATACTTCGATGGCGAAAAGCTTAAGATCTGATGGAAGCTGAAGCTGTTTGTTGCATAGAAGAGAAGCTAGCTCTCGAGAATATAGCTCTTAGCAAGCTTAGCAACGTGCTATATAGCTGGTATAATACTTACAGTATTAAAGCATGTACTATCAACTTGATGCATCAGTTTTTGAAGGAATTTCTTGTTGAAAAGGGTAGGAATAGTATCAACTTAGCTGATTAACAGCTTAGAACCCCTTCTATCTTGCAACAGCCTGCTCAACAGCCTATACTGCCTTTGCAAGTGATGATAGCATCAGCAGCTTCGCCTGAATAGCATCGAATGCTTAGATGGCAAGAGGATTCGTTGCTTTGCGATAGTCAGGTGCCTTTTCCATCTTAGTGTTGATAGCAATAGTTAAAGTAGGTTGATAAGAGAGGTTGCAAGATAAGAAAGAAGAGATATAAGACAGAGGGAAATAGAGAGTCTGAGAAATCTGTGTATAGCTGAAAATGAGAATATATGTTATGACCCATCCAAGCATGCAGGTCACAGGACAGGCCCCGCCAACAAAGAACCAACGATTACGGTTTAAGGCATGAGCACGCCTAACCAGGATTAGGTAATCAAGGGTTAGGGTTGGAAGGGAAAGACCAATCAGGAGAGGACTGCAAGGACCGCGAGCGGTCCTGTCGATGTAACCTTGGATCGCGACTATCGCTGTCGGTCCTCACGGTCCAGACTAGGGACCGCAACAGTCGCTTGCGACTGCTACGGTCCACACTGAAGAGCTGGATATATAAGGACACGTTCATTACCATTAGATAGATCACCAGGACATAGCTCTTCAGTCGTCAATCTAAGTATTCATTTGTTACACACTTGAATAGCCCCAAAGGCGAATGATCAGCACTTGCACGGATTACTCAGTGATATTTCCGTATTCAGTGGATTCTACTTTGACACCGCTCTTGTTAGCATAAACCCTTTGTGTACTTCAGATCTTCGGATTTTGCAGTGCGCTCATTACAATATAAGTGATTTTAGTGTATTTTGTATAGCAATAGTTTATATATTTCTGCTTTTAAGCTTCTTTTAAACCTAGCATTCTCCAGCCCTCAGTTACACCTTGTCTTCTAATCTTAGCACTATTGTCTACTATTCTTCTCCTCTAATTACAACCTTTCTCCCAGCTCAAGCACCTCAGCAGCCAGGAAATGCCCTCTGATATTCTCCTTCTTCTCGCCTATTATATACACTGATTCAATCAAGAACTAGTACTAATCATCCTTACTTTCCCAGTTATCTTTAATATACATTACATGCTGTTGAATATACGCCTTAAGCTCGCTAAAGAAAGCTTCAATAAAGTTGAAATAAGAGCTATATAGAGAGAGGTATTTCAAAACAATACCAGCATCCTTACACAGCTGCCTAAGGTTATTGTAATAATAGAAAGATATATTGTTCATTACCAGCACGCTCCGAGAGCTAGGGAAAGGAGTATATCGTAGCAGAATCAGCTCTTGAATATATAGCAGGAAGCCCTCAGCATTAGTAGCACCCTTATACACCGACAGAGCTATAATGCTTTCAAAAGAAAGCGCAGGCAATATCTGATACTGCATGCCACGATAAGTTCCTCCGCCAGGCACTCACTTTCGAGCTTTCAATTCTCGAGATGCTCAGACAATTCATCAGTTTATCCCTCTCTTATCAATGCTAGATTCATTTATAAAGATAAACTAGCCTAGCTGCTACTCTCTAATTATCCAGATATAGTCAGCACAAAGAGCTTCATCGCGCTCGAGAGCAATAAGCGCCTGTTTCTTCTTGGTTCAGTTCTCATCATGAAGATGGCAGCTCAGTGTAGCTTTCGAGATCTCGAGGTTAAATCGTTCAAACAGCTTGTTATAACCCATCCAACATGCAGGTCACGAAACAGTAGCACGGAAGCTACCCGGAGGAGAACCCATGGCGCCAACAGTTCAACACTTGATCCCGGACTCACGGAAGCATTATATAATCCAGAGTTAGGGTTGTAATGGAGGGAGGATCTGTAAGTCTGCTTCCAGAGCTTCAGATCCTCACACCATGAATCTGCGAATCTGCCACCAGATTCCTAGAGCCACAATAAAGAGCCGGATATATAACCACACGTTCATCGCCATTAGATAGATCATTATACATAGCTCTTCAGTTGTTAATCTAAGTATTCATTTGTCTTACGCTTGAATAGCTTCAAAAGCAGTGAAGCACTTGTACCATTTGTTCAGCTATATTTCCATATTCAGGGATTGATACTTTGATACTGCTCTTGTTAGCATTAACCCTCTTTGTGTACTTTGGAATCTTTAGATTATAGCAGTGCTCATAATAGTAGCCTATCTTGTACAAATACGAAGTCTAGCAGATCTCCGAGTACATTTATAATTATACAGCGCTTCTAGCTTTCAGCCTTGCTATTTTTCTATCAATGAAATTTTCGAGAATTGTATTTCTTGCGAAGGGAGCTTAATGTAATGAGCACTGCAGTTATCCGAAGATTCCTAAGTACTGATTGGGTTTATGCTAACAAGAGCGATATTAAAGCGTAAGTTCTTGAATACGGAAACGTACAAGTCCTAATAAGAATGCAAGTGTTTACTGCTTTTGAAGCTATTCAAGTGTGTAACAAATGGATACTTAAATTAACAACTGAAGAGCTATTGTTTAGTAGTCTGTCTAATAGTAATGAATGTGTTCTTATATCATCCTCCCTCCATTATAACTCTAACCCTGGATTACGTAATCCTTATTGGTTATCCGATGTTGGATCGTGATACCTGGTTCCTTGTTAGCGAGGCTTGTTCCGTAATCTGCATGCTAGATGGGTCATAATACCTGATAGTGGACTCTGCGAGTCTCTGTAGCGCTTAGAGATCTTGTGGCGACTGTAGCGTTCCGTTGATGTGAAGCTTGGATTCGCTGATCCGGCAGCAGCGGGCCGCAGGGAGTACGCAATACTCCTAGCAATCTTGCGTTGCAGGAAATCATGATCTTTCGATGGCTGGTGGTGTGTGGTTAGCTTTGCAGTCGAAATTCTCGTCCGAGACGGAATTGGAGTTGTTCCAGGGCTGTGCCTCGGCTATAGGCTCTTCCTGAGCAGCTGCAACCCGCGCTCGGTATGTAGCGTTGGCTGCCTCGATGAATGTATCTCGCTGCTGCATTGCTAGGTCTCTTAGATTCCTGTATGCAGTAGCTCCTTGAACAAAGGTCTCCCGGTTATTCGTTAAGGCATAAGCAGTGAGCTGGTTCATGTGATACTCGGGCTGGCCTCCTGATATTGCAGGCGCAGTAGCATGATGAGCGTACATCTTGAGTGTGCCATCATAGTAGGTTGAGCTGTAGGTATAGGCATGGCCGTCGTACACAGGCTCCTCCCGACCATAGTTCTGCAGGCTGTGCATGCTCCGGGCACCGATTGCTCCATCATACCGAGCCTGTCGCATCATCACTGCTGTCGATCCATTCGGGCCCTTCGCCTCCAGAAAGAAATTGGGTGCGATAATCCGATCCGTTGAGGTGGAGGGAATGATGTGATGTTGAAGCTCGCTGCGAATAGTCGGATTGAGTTGTTCAGGACAGGCACCCAGCGCAATATCTGGCTTGGCTGCTACTATGGTCCCGTTAGTGAGCGGTGCTAGATTCCCGAAAGCCATATTCTCAGCAGATGGATAATTATCCTTCCAGGGCCCAGTAATAGTCGGCAGTATATATTTGCATATATCACTTTCATCCTTTGCTCGAGAATTATCGTTTTGGAAGGCTTCGAAGCTATCATCTGGGAAACGAGAGAGCGAGAGCGATGATCTCGAGCGAGCCAGTACCGCTTTTGTATCCGCTAGATCTAGTTTCTGCGAGTTCCAGATAGCATGAATTCTATAATCAGCTAAGTGTTGTTCGAATCCACGATGATAGGTTGATGATTTCTTAGTCCTCGTTGTACCTGAATCAGTTGTAACCGTTATTAGGTTGATAGACTTGGTCGCTTGGCTCCGGGATGAGGAGCTCATGGTGCTGTCAGCAGCAGGAGCCGGATACCCTCGAAGATCGCGCAGGTCTGGTCCGCCGTGGCGTGCAAATCGGGCGAGGTCTCGGGCAGCGGGCTCTGTTGGCAACGACGGGGGAGGAGGGGCAGGTTGTTCGCAAATCCGCCGGTCAAGCTCTTTTAGAGCTGAGCGGATCAGCGGAATCGTCGAGAGTCTGTCCCAGAACTCGGGTGGGTAGTGCCAGGAGGGCGTGTCGACGGAGGATATCTGGGCTGAGTTCTTTTCTAGCAGGGACTGCTCGATCTTCCGGGACTTCGCACAGCGACTGTATTGCAAGTCGTCGTTTGCTCGTTGTTTCTTGCGAACTTGGGGGATCGCCATAAAGGGCATCTTTAGGAGATAAAAGCGAGCACGGAACTCGAGGATAATAAGAGAGCATTGAGAGCTGTAGTTTCATCGCTGGGTCTTGTTGAAGTGCAGTTTTATAATTCATTCAACATGCAGGTTACGGAACAAAGCCTTTGCTAACAAAGGACCAGTTATTACGGCTTAGCGCTGAACAATCTACAAGGATTACGTAACCAAGGGTTAGGGTTAAAGATTTTACTAGATAAGGATTGATTGCAAGCGGACCGAAAACCCGAAATGGTACCCCGCCTTGGTCTCGGCTTCCTGGCCGAACTCCTCAGTGCCTCGCTTCCGCACCCTCTTCGCGGGTGGCGGTTTCACATCCTCCTCTTGTCTCAACATCTCGAAAAAGTTCGGTTTCTTTGATGAAATCGGGGCAATGGACATCTAAGAGATGAAAACTTGAGGTGCTTCACGGAGTCGAACGGGGCGGGGCATCGTGCGCCGGGATGAGGACATATCACCGGCTTCCCGTCGTCGAAAGCCTGCACGTATCTCTCATAGTGGCCGTGGATATGGTCCTTTCCACAGGCCCCTGTCCAGGAACTGACGGAGGCGCGCCGGAGGCGCCAGTGACGGGTCGGCCATGCAGAATATGCAGTAGCCGGCGGTGGCAAGTACCCCACCGTAGACAAGGGGGTCGCACTGGACGGGCAGCGTCTCGGGAGTAGCAAGGTGGGAGTGGCAGTGGTCGCTCCACTGGAGTTCGCCGAAGACCCACTCGTTACACAGGAAACAAATTTCGGCGTCACCACCGTTGGGCCTCCTTGAAGCATTTGTAGACGTGCCTCCAGTTGTAGGCGGATTGTACGTCGCTACCTTGACCATCAGTGCCGCTGTTATTAGGCTGGTAAATGGTTGTTATAGGTGTCGGGTTTTTTGTGGCCGGCATGTTTCATTCTCTGGGCAAGAGAGTAGAGTTGGTCTACAAGACGAACTCGTTAGTTAAGCAAGAGCAGGACAGGTGCCGCCGAAGGCCGTGGTCGACGTACTGATCCAATATAAACCCTCCGCTCTGAAGTCGTGCACCGTAGGTGGCTTGCTGTACCCGGCGCGAAGACCCAAAGCATGAAGCCGTCTACTCAGCGTCCCCGCCGTCTCGATTTGACCACCGGCCCTTCTCTGAGACGTGCTCGTAAACAAGGGCTGGTCGAGCATATCATCCTTCCACTCCAGGCGGACCATCTCATCTCGCCCTCTGGTGGTTTCTATGGCCAGAAGGTCTTCAATGGTGGCGCAGTCCCTGAACGCCCTGGCCGCCATCAGGATGGCCAGTATCGGGAGCATCGCGTTGCAGACGAGAGGCATGGGTCCTAGCCCCTCGTAGAGCGCGTGTTCGGGTCTAGGGTCAACATCGTCAGGACCATAACGAAGGCTGGTGCGGTCCCGAGAGGGGCGTACCTTTTATCCGGGGAGTCCGTCATGGCCTTCGCGTCTCGAACGAGCTGGATGGCAAAACTCCGCATTGCCGTGTTCGTTGCGGAACACGCCAAATCTGGATGTCCTGCGGCCCGAGGTATCACTTAGCCTATGCCCTGTGGTTGAAGACCACGCATTCCTCTGTGCTCACCTTGTATAACAGACCACGGCCAGAACCCGCCCGGGACGAGGACTCAATATACTCGCCGATTCGCGGGGAAGAACAGACTATGGCCATGTATTCGGCCCATACGTACACCCTCGTGGCCGGGTTCTCGTACTCAAAACCAGTCGTTCTCCCACAGTTGGCAGGCGAGATGGAGAAAGTGATTCTTTGTGCCAAAACTCCTCTGTCGCTTGCCCTTCGCCAACAGGAGGTCACTCTCTTCTTTTGAGAGCCGCGGGCAACTCGTATTTGATGTACTGGATCCAACTGGTCAACTCCGGTCCAGCAAACAGGACGCAGGGCCTCCTCGACCCGGGGTGGGCATACATTCGTCACCGTGAGCGTGACGTTTCCGGGGGATCATGTCGTGTTCGCGGCGCCAGCCGCTCGTAAACTGCTTCCAGTACAACATTACAGTTCCCTCCGCAGGATTCGGGTCACCTCCTGCGCCGTCAATGCCGAATGCAACCTCTTTCATAAAATCCTTTCAAGAACCTCGCATTATAGGGGGGCTTGGGGTGGTCTTCGGCATGCTCTTGGAGCGTATCTGGACAGACAGGTGGGTTAGCAGGACCACAGCTGAGGCCAAGGCACGGGTTGAAGTGTGCCGAGGGGTGGAGAGGGCGGACGTACTGGTCCCAGAGGGCAAGCATTCGTGCGTTTGCGCGGGCCGCCTGGGCGGTAAGCGGCTTGAAGACAGCAGACTCGTCGATCCCCTTGTTGCACTGTTTCGAGCCCCCTTGCTCTCCCCTGACGGAAGTGGTCCTGGGCGCTCTTGCGTGGCGGCATGATGGGTACTGGATCCCTCGGGCTATTTGCAAGTGAGATCCAACAAGTAAGAAGTATACGTTTCCAAACAGGTCGCTGCGAAGGGTAGACGATAAGTGACGAGTGTTCAGAGGTAGGAAGTAATCAGGAAAGGGAGGGGAGGCAGTGGCAAGTGTCGCCGACCTTTTGTAGACAGAGAGGCAGGGCTCCAAGGGCAGGCTCCTCCCAGCTCGCAGAGGCAGCAGAAGCGTCGACGGCGCGACCTGAGTCGTATGAAAGCCAGGCGACGGGGCGCCTGCACACTGTGCCAGAAACCAGGCCCATGGCCCAACCGGCACCTACCCCCTCTTTCTGGCGGCGGTGCGCCGAATCCTCGCCCCATGGCAAGACCGACTGTCGGGTAAAGTTGACAAAAGTCGAGGAAGAGGGAGGCCGTGTCGGCCGTAAGTGGACCGCCGGCGGGCGTTGTGGTGGGTGCGGCGATATAAACTCTGAGCGTCAACTGAGCAAGGGGTGAGCCGGGGTGACGCGAACCTGAGCCTGCTGACTAACCGAGTCGGGAAGCCCAGTGGCCCAGTATTGCGCAAGACTACTACCAGAGTAACCAGGGCCACTTATGTAGGCTCTTTGGTATCATCTTCCGCGTTTCCATAGCTGACTGATGTATCTACATTAGGGCTTGCTAATCAGAGAGTCCCTTTCTGTATGGATTCTGTTTTCTTCCAGCCTCTAAGCCAGATCCGTTCCCAACTTGACTTTAGTGGTCACCTGCACGCAAGCAGCGTCCCAGTACATAGCAGATAATGCCTTTAACATACGTCATTTTGTTCTTGAATCCTCATGGCCTCATCGATGGCGGAACAGCCCGGCGGAAAAGAAGAAAAGAGAGAGGGGGGGATGTAGGGAGTGGGATGGAAGTGTTGAACTGTAACGAGAGAGTTTTGTGTGTGAATCAATATCAGCTCCCTGTCGAATTTCTCAACGTGCTAGCTAGATTGGGGGTAACTCGTACGATGGGTGTAGGCCCATGTGGTAGGATCGAAGTCAAGAAGGGGGAGGAAGAGGCCGAGGATAAGGGAGGTGATGCTGTCAGAGGACAAGAGTGACGGTACTTGGGTCTACATGCTATGTGCACAATCGTCCTCTCGGTCTTGGAGGTCATCATGGAGAGGAAGAAAGCTCTTCTTGGGCTTGGGCTTAGGCTTTTGGATGATCCTCGTCCCTGACGGAAAGATGAAAGAGCTGCAGTAGACGACAGCTGCTATGGCAATCAGACAGAAACACTTACATCGGCAATATAGTCCTCAGACGACCAATGGCGGTGACAATTCCGGTGAGGAGGTGTCGTCATTTTCTTATGAAGAGAGACACAGCACGGGCTCATCGCAGGAGGAGGAAGGATATCAGCTTTCCACGTTTCTGTCTTATCAAGGCGAATGAAGGCCTTGCAGACGAGGACACACTCTGACCTTTGTGATGGCGGGCGGCCATCATTAAGGGGCATACATGTTTCTGATCGACGAGAGAGACCTCAGCCTCGCAGAAAAGGAGCTCTCCGTTTCTATCTTTCAGTTTATAGGGACAAAGTGCAGGGATCCCATGCTGCCTCATCATCTGTGCTTCAGACATGTTGATTCCCCCCATGGATGAACTTTACTGTAATGGCAGATGGCCCGGTAGAAATGACTCCAATATCGCCACCGTCATCATCATCAACAAGACGAGTCTGACCAAGGATGGCCAGTCATTTGAGACAAGACCAAATGAACTCGCCCTGCGCGGTCTCCTCTGTCAGTACTTTCTTCTATACGAAGACTGACTGGGTGCGCGCCTCAATCGTCCATGTCTGCCTACCTATTCTAGCATAACCTTTCACTGTGAATTACATGAGCCTACTCTTACTTTACCTACAGCCCCTCGTTGATAAAAGTCTGCTCAGCAACACAGCTGCCCGACCGCATTTGATGTCAAGAGGGAAGGTTTATGGATGGACGGAGAGACGACCTGGTCAACGTAAGCATAATGAACAGGGGCAGTCGGGTTATACAAGCTGCAGAGGCCCTCGTGCAATTCAGTTTGTCGTCGTTCTTTGTCCTGGTGTAGGCGGTCCAATGACGCCTGCACACGACGTTCTCCGCCTCCCCTTCTCCCATTCCCCGCTGCTGCTGTGTCTTCTACAACCCCGTGGTAGGGGCCCTCTTCCTTTTTCAGCTCATCCACCCACGGCCCCTCTTTTTCTTTTTTGGGAAAGTCTTGCAGGAATGCGCAAATATTGCAGGGTTAGAGGACGGTGCGGAAGTCTCATCCGGCTTGTCCCACCCACACTACAGCTGACCCAGCCCCTCCTTGCGGACCGGGACCAGACATGCACGCTGTCCCGATTCTGGGGTATGACAGCGGCCGCTTTCCTCCTTCTCTCCCTCTCTCGCTCTCGCGGTGGATTTTTAGTCTTTCGCTTGCATTGACCAATCTCGACAAAACATGTTTTCGTGGTGCCACAGTTGGGTTATTTGCATTTCTGGTTCCGAAGGGTGACCAGGGGGGGGATGCAATGGAGGGGTCCTGAAATTGCACCAAAGGTAACAACCTCGTGTTTCGCCCTGCATGGCGTAATGATACTCTTCCCCTCCCTCCCCCAATAATTCCGCCCTGGGCAGCAAGTTGGACGTTTTAGTGGGTGGTCCTGGTCAACGGTGTAATATTTCCCCCTTCTGATATGTCGCAAGGGAGAGAGTCTCATGACCGCTTCACCAACCAGTGACATATCCATTCTCCTTGAAGGGCCCTTCACCTCCTTTGCAACACATGCAGTATACTACCAGCCTTCTGCTTCTTTTTCCAATATATATAAAATGTGATGGGCTCGCTGGCGGTTTTAGAAAAACCAGGGGCGAGGGAGGAGTGGGAGGATTGAGAAAAAAGAAATCAATCACTGCAAACATCTATAGAGTAAAAGTCATAGCGTTATGTAGCGAAAAAAATAAAAAAAATAAAAATAAAAAAAAAAGAATTACTCCATGAGCTCTAGCCATCTATTTGCACCGACCTTGTACCGTCACAGAACCGATTAAAAAAAACAAAAAAACACCTGGACTGAACAGAGACATACCCATATACATACCCAATACGGAAGTTCATACTAACACAGGGATCGATATGTACACCAGCCGGCATTGCGTAAGGCTGCGAGCCTCTCTGGTTCGGGAGGGTCGGCTATACAAGGAAAAAAACGACTGGCGGTGAGGAGACGGCTTACGGTAGATTGGCTGCTTGGATCAGGCCATTATCCCCTCTCATCACAAATCGCACGCAGCTAAGTGGTTCTACGGAGCCCCTCACCCTCTACCTCTTTCTATTCTCTTTGCCAATGGAGGAGAGAAAAAGAAAGGGAGTACAGAATATGGTCGGCTTTTTTTTTGTGTGTGTGTGTGCATTGACGAAACTGCACAAAGACATCACACCGGAAAGCACGGAAAGGTCAGACAGACAGGCCAGCGCTACGTAGCTGGGATCCACTACGGCCCAGAGCAACAAAGAGGTGAGAGGCACTTTGAATCGTGATGGAGGGTGGAACGAGACGTGTCGGGCAATAGAGAGACGCTCCTCTCCTGATTGCGTGGAATCTCACACCCCAATCATTCTCTGGTCTGGTTTCCACGGGGTGGACCGGGGCTGGTGGCGGTGGTGGTGGTGGTGGTGGTGGTCGTCGTCGTCCTTTCGTTCCCCCCTACCTTTCCTCTTTCTCGCTGTCTCTCCTCAAGCTGTTCCTCGGTTTCGGTTTCGTTGTCCATAACAGTACGTACCTGATTCTGAAAGTGAGAAGAAGCGCTTTATTTCCTGTTCTCCTGGATCATTGCCGGGGGAATGGTTTCCCTCCCCTACCGGCGCCAGAGGATGGGGTGCTTGGCTGGATTGACCGGCATCCGTTTTCTCCACTAGCAGCACCGGAAAGGGATCCGGGTCCATTGAGGGAAAGGGGTGGAGAGTGAGAAAGACCCATAAGAAATGCATGCATTGTACAGTTAGGTAATCTCACCCTCCCTCCCACTCTCTATTCTCTCTCTTGGTGAAATCAAAGCCCTGCACAACACGCGGCACTCAAATGTGCTCTCCTGCCCGACACGTGAAAAATGGGAACAGGCAGAAAACATGGCCCTTGAGTGTACAAGCTTTGATCTACCTCTGAAGCATTTTCATCATCTTCATTTTCCTCTATTTTTTGTTTCAGATGAAACTTCAAACCTCTCAGGCTATGCGCTTAGTAAGAAGAGGATCCCTTTGCCGACGACAAAAGGGAATGAATACGGGAGAATAGCTAGCGAAATGCAGCTATTTTGGGGGGGGGAGAGAAGGGGGGGGGGGGCGAGTTCGGTCATGGCGAGATAACTTTGGCTGTACGCAGCTGCCAAGGGAGGGCCTGGATGACCACCCTTCAAACTCAGCGTAAACTTAATTTCCCCTTTCCTGTTATAAAGTTTAAGATGGTAAGGTTATCGTGAGTGATTAGCCTTTTCGTCTCACCCTCGCAGCCCCTGTTGGGCAGAGGCCATCACCGTCTCCCCCTGCGCGTCTTAAAGTTCCGGAATAGTGCCTATCCTCGAAGGATCCCACTCCGACAGGGGAGCTGCCGGATGAGTTTATAGCCACCGCCCTCACTGCCAAAAGAATTAAGCAGAAAAGAATTGTCAAGAAAAGAAAAGGAAAAGGAAAAGAAAAAAGTTACATTTATTTGCGTTTCTGAGCCTGTGCACGATATTTCCGAGAACAAACTACAGATGAAAGCGCTCAGAGCCGGCCCTCGAGCGAGCGCTCCGCGGAGGTTACACAGGACTCGGATCTCCATGGATGGGTATCTCCGAGAGTCTTTCGCGGTAACATGGTGAGTTTTTTTTTTTTTTTAGTTTTTTTTTTTTCTCCCCCAGACATGCGTATTGCTGCGCCCTACCACAGTACGATGAGAGAATGCAGGCAGCGAACCGAGAACAAATGAGTTCAAGGACAACTCTACAAACCCGCCTCAGCTTCCTGAGGAGGACCCGCGAGATAACCTGCCCTGAACCAATGCTGATGAGAAAGAGACGCAAAAAATAATTAACATTTCGCTTTCTGAATACTACTAAACTTGCTGACGGACGAGATTATGCCCATTCCATATCCTGTAGATCTTGTACCACAACACCAATTAACGACTTGTCCATGTTCATTTATCCGGGGCACGGGCGGCGGTCGGCCGATCGGAGCAACGGGCCCATGTACCGGCTTTGTGTCACACATTCAGAAATACCGCACAACAACAACAACAGCAACAACAACAGCAACCAATAACCACAACAACATGGCAGGGTCGTACGATGAAGAAGGCTGCACGCTCCATCATGGGCGTACTCGGGCAGGGGGGCACACCCGTCTGGCCCGGGGGGAGGGCAGCGGACCACAAAATCTCACATGGTGCAGCCTGATCGGTACACATATGAACTAGGTTATGTATATCTAAGGGACAGGCACTTTTATTGTTGGAACAAGTGCTGTTCGCTCACAAACGCGAGAGTTCTGGCGAGAGGGGTAGCAAAAGCGATCCCAGTTTCTGAGAGACACACACAACTTCCCAAGAGACCGCCCAAAGTCCCCCCCAGAAGGCAGGCACAGGGATCGTACCGGCCGTAGTATTCTGTCACTTCCATTTTACTACTACGGTCCATTTCGATATGGTTGGTGTGTGTCCAAGTAGGCTCTGGAAGTGACGTGATGGTCTAAGCAACAGCTACTGCAAAATTGGTCGCACGGATGGCCAGCTCAGTGTGCGCGTCCCCTCTCGCAGGACGGGGGGGGCATCAGCGAGAGCACAGCCTAAAGGCGCAGTCCCCGCCTCATGAGACAGCAAGCCTGTGCGCCCACACCACACGAGGGACAACTGGATCGTGGCAAATAGTGTCACAAGGATGGGGCAGCAAATGGTCTCGTTCCTCTACCTCTCTCAAGAGGGCACCTTGCTCAAAAGAGAAGAGGTGACTCAATATTTTGCTGCTGTACTCCCCAGTACCAAAAAGATGGTCAAACTCGATCGACAATCGGGACACCGGCCACCGCCGCGATGGAGGCTGTCAAGGCCTACTATTGGGAAAGAAACCACGGAATTTGCCGTCAAGGTGGTTTCCTCCCATCTATCACAAAGAGAGAGAGAAAGAGAGGGGGGGGGGGAAGAGAATTCAAGCAAGGTCCCGTGTTTCACACACAATCCAGCCAGCATCCACCCCCCCCCCCTCCATTGGATACGCAAGGGTATACGGGGCGGTATGAGTGATGCCATTGGCCAGGTCAAAATCCTGTGGAAATATTCTTTTCTTTTCTCCCTCTACTGTGGTTTCGTACTGAAATAAGAGCACCCTAGCTGAGCATCTTCTTGCCCGTGCGTATTGAGTGCACTTGTACCTCCTCTCGATGGGTTGGTAGTCTTGTCACTCAGATACTAGTGGGGGTCGCTGCGAAAGACGCTCCACAGAACCTGACCGGGACGCCCAATACTACCCATCATACCAGAGTAGGTCTACTTTTCGAACTGATCATTTCTGGTTTTGAGGTGCTACAACAAATGATAGACGATGAGGGACAAGACAGCCACAAAACCCCGGATAGACTAAGAGCCGGTGAGAAAGGCGCGGTGGGACAAAAGAGAGATATCATCGTAAGGGGCTGCCCCGGTGGCGATTTGATAATTACATCGTGCGGGGTGTGCCCAGCCCCGAGAGAGAGAGAGGAAGAGGGTGTGAATCGGAAACGAGAAGAACAAGTGGTGTTTGATGTGGAAGGATGTGTAAGGCCAGCGAAGGGAGTGGCAGACCAACCAGAGAAAGGAAAGAAAGAAAAAAAAAAAAGGGGGGGGGGGACGATGGAAGGCGGAAAAACCGGGTCCCCCCCCCCCCCTTCGGAACCAGTGACGCAGAGACAGCGCATCAAGAAGCCTCACCACCCATGCCCTCACAGCCGGCTACGGTTGCCTTTAATTCCAACTGGGCAGGAGACAGGAGAGTTTTTCCTTTTTTCATTCGTGGTCCAAGTGCATACCATCAATGTTATTCGTGCGATCATGGCGTTTCAGGTGGTGTTTTTGTTTCTTTTCCTGCGCAGATAGAGTGGGTGGGCGTGGAATGCACCAGTGCCAACCAAGAACAAATGCATATCGACCAATGCCAGGTGGCATTTGGAGGGGAGGGACAGGGAGAGTTCACGTCATGTCACAGCGTCACATGCAGAAACAGATTAATACATTCTGTTGCTCGTTTGTCCCTTCCCGTCAGTGACTTTTCTTTTTTTCGGGATTTGAATTTTTTTTATTTTTTTTATTTTTTGGTGATGCTCCCCCTCCTCTTTTGCTGCAATACTGGACAGTCTCAGAGAGGAGGGGTGCGTGTGAAGATGCATACGAGTTGAAACTAGCCCCCCCCCCTCTCATCATCATCATCATCATCATCATGCTTCATCCAAGCAGAAGAGAAAAGCATGAATCAAACAAAACAAAAAAAAAAAAAAGGGTCGTTTGCTGGAGAAAGTAAGAGAGTGGATCATCACCAATCAAAAACTTCAGGTCCTCCCACCGGCTGCTCGGGGGCCGGAAAACAGGAGCCTAGAGGCGATCGCCCCACCTGTCAACTGTTGAAGGCCCCTGCAGCTCCAGGACTACAAGGGCGAGCTACCCTTGTCATGCACACCAGCACACCGGCACACAACTCACAGACCGTCTGGGTTAGCTCCTGCAGATGTCACCCAAGGAAGAAACAACCCGCTGGGAAGGAGGGCGGACGCTACGTGTCGACCACCGGCCAAGCAACGCGCCAACTATATTCCCATCACGTACCCACTCTACACACCCACCCACTGAACCCACCCAGCGCACGATGGCCCCATTCCGGCCCGTACCGATCAGGGGTACTTAGTTGGCTGTTGAAGAAAAGAGGAAGAGAAAGAGAGGAGCTTTCTTAGCAAAAAGGGGGGAGTGTGGTATGGGGTGGGAAAGGGGAAGAGCGCGTAGAGACAACCAGGCAGAAAGAGAGAGAGAGAGAGAGAGAGAGAGAGAGAGGGAGCTGGAGGCAAGCTACTTGGGGCCTGATAGGCCACACAACAGACTATGCCCACAGGTTTGGGATCGGAACTGCTAAGGGATCGCAGCCGTAGCTGACATGCGGATCGCAGATCTCTTCCTTTCGAGATGGGTAGAGACAGGACAGGGAGGGGGTGGTGGGCAGAGGTGATGACTGAGACGTGGCGATAAAAGCTGTTGTGAGATGTGAGGAATAAAATAAAATAAAATAACTGAACCAAGAAACAAAGAAAAAACAGAACGCCTCCCCTTGCGAAGAGATACCTTCACCTTCCCTCCCCTGCCCAGCTGGCGGTAGCCTGCAGCTGTCCTGCTGGTCCTGTACCTTTCCTTGTCCACTCCCTTCCACCCCCCCTTCCCCCTTCCCAGCAAGGCCAGCCAACCTGTTTGCCTAGAAGCCTCTCATAAATGATAGATATCGTTTGGATCACGTAAATGGTTCGCCCTGGTGTAACTTGCAAACGGATTGCTGCTGTTCTCCAGAGACAGACCTCTGACGCCCCCCCCCCCCCAAACTTCTGAAGAATATTTCCTTGCTCTCTGTCCAACCTCGCTTGAGCATATATTCTTGCCTCCTTCTCATTCTCCTTCTTCCGTCTCGCCTCCTCTGCTCTCATTCACACACACACACACACACACACACACACATTGACCAGCAGAGAGGGGAAGAGAGACAGAGAGAGATAGACACAGGCAGATCTCTTCTCATCTATTTTCATCCTCGTAGGACACCAGTCAAACTCTCACTTGACTCGCTCAGAAACAGGAGGCATGTCAACATGTCTCTTGTGACATCATCATCATCGTCATCATCATCATCCTATTCTCCTTCTTCCATCTCGTCTTCATCTCCCTCTTTTTCTTCGTTCAGGAAATCAGCCCCATCCGTCACAGATATGGACATGGAGTCCAGCCAACAGAAGCAGAAAGACGCCGCGTCACCTATGGCGGGCCCGTCAGCCACAGCCGGGCCGCTCCAGCCGCCCACCGACCAGCGGAGCCCAGCACAGAAATCTAACGACACGTACCGTGAGCAGATCGAGAAGCACCACTCGGCCTCGCTCCCATTCTGGCAGTTTGAGGCCCAGCTGGCCGTCGAGTTCAACGGTCTACTACGCAAGAAGGAGAAAACCCTCGAGTGTGTGACACGGTCGATGGACTACCTCGACACGGCCTTCTCCCGGGTCCGCTTGTCGTGGGAGAACATGGGCATCTGGAACTACCAATGGTCCGGATTCCCCAAGCCTGCCTCGCGCTGGCGCCATGAGGACCCCACGGTCCCACAGGACTGGCGAGCGGAGAAAACCCGTCCTATCGAGATGTTCGAGAAACAGGTCTTTGTGCTGTGGGACTCGGAAATCCCCGAGGTCCAAGTACCTACATGCGGCTGTGCTGCCGTTGACAAAGTGCGAAGCCACGAGCTCGCCCGCATCCTCATCAGGAACACCTGGAAGGCCAGAGGCATCTGGGACATACGCTGGGGCAAACAGCCTGGCAACACCTGGAAGCACGAGCGGCCCCTCGCCGACTTCCTCAACGACCCTGTCGAGTACGAGTACGAGTCCACCGATGTCATGCCCAAATACGACAAGAACGCTCCCATTGAGTCATACTTTCCGATACTCAAGGGCGACAAGGTGTACCCAGTGGCACGCATCCCTAGAAGTGACGGCCATACTGATAATAAACCCTCCTCATCCTGTGTGGCAGCCACAACCACCACCAGCAACAGCAACAACACCAACAACAACAACAACACCAACACGACGAAGCCCCCCACTTTCACCCCCACTCCTTTTACTATTCCTCTTCCTCTCACCATCACACCATCGGCCAACACCGCACCAGAGGCCAGTGCCGGACCAAAGCCCACGCCCAAGCCAAGCCTTACCGGCAAACCAAAGCTTAACATGATCGTAACTCCAACAACAGTGGCCAGGACGCCACCACAAGGCAACCGACCGTGCCCAAGGTTTGCTCCCTACCCAACTGAAGCCCGCCGTCGAGGGCCCCCTAACGCGCGCCCGAACCGTCGACGGATCAAGGTTGATACCCAAGGCAACAAGCGCGACGACTACTGGCGCGGGCGACAAGGCTTGTCCGATCGCCACGACTTCTGGAGCGTTATCTAAGTAGTCACCATTTTTGGGACAATGATGGCGTCTCATCAAGAGAAAACAAAAAGGGTTGGTTGTTGTTTTTTTTGGTGGGGTTTTTTTCCTTCTCAAGGAAGCAACAACATGATGTCATAGGATGAGAAGGAGGGAGAAGAAGAACACGAACGAGGGAGAAGAGAAAAGGCAAGGACAGAATGACAAGGACGGAAAGACCCCACACCATTCATCTTGACAACCACCACCACCACCAAACTCAGGCGAGACCATTTTGCGTTTCATTTTTGATCTAGTCGCTCATTGACTTGGTGTTTGACAGACTTTCGGGGTTTTCTTGTTCTTTCCCCTGCTTAGTTAACTATTACCAGATTGATTACCCATCTTATTTAGCTTTACCACACAAACATGCATGACCTGTGCCATGTTCCCGCAATTGCCAACATCGTGATCCCTGTCTCTCTCTCTTTTTTTTTTCCTTTTTTTTTTTTTCCCCCTTCTCCTTACTTCTCCACCGCGTTCAGATCCCATCACCATCCTCACTGTCGTCATTTCCACCGTGATCGTCGTGATCATCAATTATTTTCTTACCACCATCACCTCCACCTACAAGCACTTTCCGACGAAACCTAACAAAAACCTCCCACTCTTCTTACTCAGAGTGGGAGCGGGCCCCCCTCGAGGAAACTGGGTGCGCAGAGTGATCGTCTACCTGCTGCTGCTGCGCAACATAGCGTCAACCGCCCATCATTTAACACCACTACCAACCAATTTACCCTCACCAGTATCTTTGAGATCCTATTCGCTTCCGTCCTGTTACCATTGCAGCAATAATATCCACCGAGATCCTCATGTCTGGCCTGTCTCAGTGCTTGGGTAGTAGTTAGCGAGAAGACGGGAGCGCTAAGAAGACGGGTGCTAATGGGCCGGGGACCCCTCAATCTTCAGCGGGGCGGGGTCGTTCTTAGTGTATTTACAGGGGAAGCTTGACGGCGATGAATGGAATTACCCCAGACTTTGCCTCACCAGCCGAGCAGTAGTACACACGGCACTAGCTATATTAAGTGCCCTCTTCGTTTTGTCACCTATTATTAGAATTCTAGATACTGCCGTCATGCTGTCGTACATACCCTGTGATCTTTTCTACTTGCGGTGATGTATTTCTGTAAAGTGGGTAGTGAACTGGGGAACCGGGGACGCGCTTCGTGGGACAAATTACTTGAGAATTTCCCAAAGCGTGCTGCACTTCTCTTGGGATGTTACATCAATCACAACAATTCCTACATAATACTACTATAGCAATCTCGAAGTCCAAGGATACTACCGCCTGGCTCTGGTCTCTCCCCATCTCCAATTTTATCTTCAGGAAGGGAAATGTATTTTTTTCTGCTGGTTCGGTTCAACCTGTGCTTTCAGGAGACAAACATGAAGTACCATCTCCAACGTCGGGTGTTGCATCTTGGGCAAAAGGCAATGAATGTCCGATGCTCCTCGCGTCTTCCGGAAGACTGCACTGTTCCTCGTTCTGAAAGAAGAAACGAGCGACTAAGAAGAAAGAAAGAAAGAAGAGAAAAAGGACGGGCTTGGGGGAGAGAGACACTCTAACGCGTCTCTGCATATCCATGCATATTTTGCATCTAAATTCTCACCTGCTCACCATTCCGCCAGTCCCCCGTTCCCGGGACGGGGGAGGGGGGGGCCAACAACATCACTGAACGCCCGCCCGCCCACCCACTCACCTCTGGAAGAGTCAGCCCGCGGAGATTGCCGGAGACGCCCATTCTCTAGGCTGGCCGCCCCCTGGCTGTCGAGCTAGTCTCTGTGGCTTCACAGCCAAATGCAATGTCACCTCGCAGTCAACAGCTTCTCGCCAGCAAAGTCCATTCGCCCCGCCCGTCACTCCGTCCTCCGTCTACATTCATCTCGCTCGTTGGCTCCTTGTAGGTGGCCACGCAGGATGATGATACAGATCAGAAAGCAACAAACAAAAACCAGCGAGAGTGGGCCTGGAAATTAGGCGACCTGCCATCATATTCTGCGCTGGATGGCAAATGAAGGCCTCCTTTGGAGTTTTTGAGCTTCTATGCTGTGTCACCACCTGCCAGTTGGCGGCCATCCCCCACAGGATCATATTGCAAAAGGACAATCTTCACATCGCAAGAGGGGTGGACTGGGATATGAACGAATAGCGTGGGGGTACATCAGTTGCTCGTCAAGCCATCGACGAGGGGATGAGAGACCGGAGAGGGGAAAAGAGGCAATGACATGATTGCGTTAGTCTGCATGATAGTGTTTCAAGAAGTTGCTTCTTTCTCTTTCACGAGCCCTCACCAGATTCGGTAGTCTTCAGATGGTACAGACAGACGGGTTATGCAGGACAGTCCAACCTCCGAGCGCTTGCTGGTCTGATCAGAGCACTCTCGAGATCGAGGAACTTTTGAGAGGGGTGCCGGAGTTTGGAAACCAACTACCTTCTTCCTCATATCTCCTCACTCACAAGAGAGCAACAAACGTCGTCGACCACCCCCCCCCCCCCTCTCCACTCCTTCTTTTCTCCATTGGTGAGCTTTGTCTGCCTTGGATCCAGCATTGCGGATTGATCATCTATCTGCTCTGTGCTTTCTCCTGTGAGATCATGAAAGCCCTCTTCCCAAATGATCCCTTCTCTTTCTCTGTTTCTGGATAGTCAAGTTCTTGCTAACAATGGGTGAGAAACGGCATGGAGCCCTAACCTTACCTTTACGGCGAGCTTTGCCACTTCTTGGCCCACACATCCTCAAACACACTTTCTCATCTCAACGGCTTCTCGAACGCAGCCCTCATGCAGCGTTCCACACAAGTCAAGCGGAATCAAGCGGCTTGACAAGCGAAGTTGACGGTTTGGCGATGGTCTTCAAGACAAGTAAGCGGCCTTTTTGACCAAGCGGCTTGCAAGCGAACAAGCGAATTGCCTCAGTCCTATTGTGGGTCCTTATAGGCTCAGTTGAAGCTATCGCGGCCCACTCTGGATGCAACCTTGCTGGGGTTTTTGGTGTTTTGGCCTAGGCTTTTGCCCTGGCCCTTGGCTATTCGGCCTATATATCCGTATTAAGTCTTTTCCTCCGCTGGCAGGCAAGCTCTTCTGTACCTCTTCTACCCTTGTACTTGGCATCCTCGCGTTTACTTCCTCGCGTCTCGCACCTGGGTGTCCTCGCGTTTATCTATCATCGCTTTCCTTTCACTATCATGGCTAATAGCAATGCTTTCAACCAGCTTAGCCACGCGAGATATACCTCTATCCAGAAGCAGATCGATGCCCACGATGCCACAGCACAGTTCTCTCTTGGTACCCTCAAAGACCTCCCACGCATTAAGGTTCCAGGACGATCCCATGCCTTTGTCCCAGCTCGCTGGATGCCAACATCATCGGCCAAGAGGAAGCGCCACGGGTCTGATATCTGGCATTTCGGCGAGAAGCTCTTCGAGGTCATCGTACAGGCTGACGGCACATGCAAAGTTGCAGCGGATTGGTGGTTCTGTCGCCTCTGCGATCAAAATAATCGACAGACCTTATATACCACGCGTAACAGTATCTCGACAAGCACATCAGCAGCTCTAAAGCATCTCGAAGGTCGCGATAACGAGGGCTATAACCTTGGCAAGCTGAAAGAGCTTGTTGCAGAGGCAGAGAAAGAGGAGGTTAGCCCAGAGGAGCTTGGCCGGCGAAAGCGGCGAAGAATAAACCATCGTGGCCTTTTCAACAACAGCAGTCTATATACAGCGCCTGATGCCTTGAAAGACGCTGCCAACGCTCCAACTCGTGCAGTTGTTAGTCTCGCGAAGAAGGCTATAACAGAGCTGGTTGCTTGTTGCGATATACCTCTTTCAACTCTCGAGGCGCCTCAGTTCCGCCAGCTGTTGATGGTCTGGAATAGCATCCTGACGGAGCACTTTTTCCCTCGAAGTGATGGCACAGTGATGAGATGGCTGTTTGAGGCGTTTCACGAGAACCTAGCTGGTCTTCAGCTCCAGCTCCAGCGCGAGGCTATCTCGAAGATTCATCTATCTGCTGATCTCTGGACCTCGCCTAACCACAAAGGCATTCTAGCAGTGGTTGCGCATTTTGTTGATAGCGATGCAAAGCTGCGAAATCGCCTTATAGCAGTGAGGATGATCAACGGCCAGCATACTGGCGAGAACCTCCAGTGGCATCTCCATCAGGTTATTATGGCTTTTCAGCTTGAGGAGCGGCTCGGCTGGCTTACTTTTGATAACGACAGCACGAACGACAAGGCAACAAGGCTTCTTTTTCGCAAGATGTATGGCTTCAATCATCGTGAAGCTGAGAAGCTGCGGATTGAACGGCGATGCCGCTGCTGGGGCCATATTATTAACCTTATTGTCAAAGGCTTTCTCTCTGGTAACGCTAAACAGATACTCGAGGCTGAAGATAGCGATGCTGATGAGGTAAGTTGAGCTGTTTTGTATCTTCCTGGCTTATTGCTAATATTTAAGCAGGAACTCGAGCAACAGAGGAATCAGTGGGATCAGTGGCAGCGAGAAGGACCTATACGCCGCGCTCATCTTATTGTAGTCTTCCTCAAGGCAAGTGTACAGCGGGTCCAGGACTTCGAGAAGATTGTTCAGAACTCTTTGTTTTCTCCAGAGGACCAAGATCTCGAGAACACTACAGCCTTTTTGGCAGAGGCCCTTCCTCAGCCAACAGCACAAGACCTCACGATGCCACCACTACCGCTTCCTACAGACTCTACAGATGAGCAAACTGGCGATATATCTACCTTGCGGCCAGTGGTAGCTCAGGAGACGCGATGGAACTCAACAGAGGCTGAGATATCGCGGCTGCTGAGGCTGAAAAGACCTATTGATTTCTGGGTTAAAGAGCAAGTTCGAAGCGGTGCTAAAATATAACCTTTGAGTGAGCAGGACTGGCGAGTGCTTGAGGCAACTCGAGATCTTTTGCAGCCATTCCTATGGCATACAAAACACCACGAGGGGAACGCTGTAGCTGTTCATGATGTTCT